AGTCATAGTAATATATCGAGTACGAAAAGTGAACGAGTGGGAAATATATCTATAAACCCAAAAACACGGAAAAAAATATCACAATTTTAAAAAAAAATTAAAATAAGACAATGATATATAAAATCACAAAAAGGAACAGACTCACAGTTTACAATTTGATGTACCAGATCACGTCGGGCTCACCAAATGAATGTGCCACAGGTATTCGGAGTTTGACAACGCTTTAACCAGTAACACCTTCTAATACGAAGCGCACCCACCAAGTAAAATCAAAAGACAGAAGTGAGGAGATCGAAGATATATTTGATAAGCTATCAATATATCGAGGATCGTTTGCACTAATCTGGCTAGCGATTGAGGCAGATGTTGAGCACGGCGTTCCCACACGTGATCTGGTGCGGATGCTTGACCGAGAGCCTTCAGCTAGATGAGTCCACTAAAACTGTGGTCAGCATCCAATGTGGAAAACTTACAGAGCTATTTGATTTTGGGGAATTATTTACCGCCACAAGATAAATGTGAACTGAAATACGTCTTCTGTTGACTTTCTATAAATCCCATAATATACTTTGGGTTAGGCCTGTGTTGTGTTTTAAACAGCTTTTCAGATCTAAATATGAGAGAGTAACCACATAGTTGAGTATTTAGTACCAAGTGTAAGTACATACTTAAAGTTCACTCAGGGAAACTAAAAGTAGTCATCCTGCATTTCTGTTGCAGATACTAGATTCTCAGATATAACTTAGTAAACGTCTCATTTTTGTTATTTTTTTTTCGAAACTGCAATTCATAATTGTTGCGCCGAAAGCACCCACTTTTACCACACTTTGTATTTCCCACTCACAAAGACCTCAAATGTCATTGGTTTGTTTCCTGTTTCAGTACGCTATTGTGTGACATTTTCCAATGACGTTTTTGCACTGTATATATACGCATGAGTTGTACGCTTGTCTGTTTGAGCTTACGACTGCTTGTGGAATTCACTTTTCCATCGTTCGAATCTGGTCTTCACCCTCCAATTGACAGGGCTGGAGCCAAGTAGAATAGCTTAACTTGTTGTTGTGTTTCTGACTTTCGTTCCGTTCACCCGTTCTAGATGATATCCTAACGTCTTCAAACCTAGCAATATCAAACATTATATCAGGACCCAACACCTGCAATTAGCTTAGTATTCCTCTTACCAACCTAATTTATGCATTAGAAGCACTGGTGTGCAGTGAAACTATAGAGTGAGAAATACTGAAATTGTTAAGTCTTTAGACAACCGAACAGAAATCAACTAACGCGATTGTGGATTGTTTCCAGTGAAGTAGACGAATCGTGTTACGGATATCAAGTAAACACGTGGTGATAGCAGAAAAAATAATATTACGAAGAGTAGCGGTAGCCAAAACAAGATAAAATGACAGTCTGTGAGTTCACTGAATATCGGTCTAATTCACGTAATGAAATGTAGTAATTCAGGATGTTGCTTTTGAGATTTGTTTTCGAAGACTATAGTTGATCAATCAAGAAGGTACAGATCCACAAATGCTTATTTCGTAAGTTTTCAGTCCGATTGACTATCTATCATCTCTTGACTTGTACCTTTTACCGAATAATAATGTTTCAATGGAACAAAAACTTGACATCAAAAAGTAGGGTCACAAGTTTGCATCTAGTCCAATTGTTTATTAATGCAAACACATTAGTCAGATTTGACTGGTAGTCCGTTGTGTAGAATGTTTTGTAATTTTCAGGTAGTATGGAAGTCTCATTTTTGTTATAGTACCGAGTAATAATTTTATGTAGTGAGATTACCATCGACCGTAATGTCAGTAATTGAATGACGCCGCTTGAAATAGAGCGACAAAAATGGCGAAATTACATTTTATAATCATTGCAATTCATATTCAACCTTACTTCTATTCTTAAATTAATTTGATGTTTATCCAGTATGATATTTGCTTTATTTTCAATGTAATATTTCACTCAGTTCAACACTGATTTCTTCTTGTGTGGTGTTTCTCCAACATAATATATTATCTGTATCAAATTAACGTGAACTATGGTCAGCATGACATGCAACGTGCGATTTCGTTATGATTTCATATATGTGACTTCATTCTAATTAATAATCGAGTGGGTATACAAATCAATATATGAATGAGTGTATTTTCGACTAGAGTGGTCGGTGTCGTGTTTTTGATGTGAATAGATCTCCATTTATACCAGTAGTCTATTGCGTTTTTACTTTGCGTCGTGTGAATTGTAGTAGTACAAGTAATAAACGAAGCGAATATAACATTTCTAAACATGTCCATTAGAAAACACCTAGTTTTAAAGCATGTGGAGCTCATGATTTAATGTCATACTGCATAGAATAGCTTGAACATGACTTCGAAACTATAGCGTACTTATATAAAAGCTGGGACTAGGTTCTTGTTTCCAAACAGTTACTAAGTTTATAATTGGGAAAAATCCATTTGAAATTTTATCAAACTTGGAAGGCAGATAAACTAGTTTAGGGAACGGTAATTTTAATCGTTTCACAAGTCGCTTTCTTAATTAACTACGAGATACTCGGAAGCTTTTCTTTGAACAAACGATTAATGAGATGTTATTCATTCTATTGAAATGTTAGAAGGTAGTCTTCTTTATTCGACTGACAGACAACAGATACTTGCATTCTCGACCTACGTTAAGAGCTAATAACACCTGAAGAGGAATTTAAGACGAAGAAGTGCTGAACAGCTGTTCTGTCTAAATAACAACAAGGAGGATGTAACTTACCAAGCACATACTCGGTGTGGAGTCATAATTTTTAAGTGAGCATTGTCGATTTTACACGTAAATCGAAGTAGATGGAAAGGGATTCTTACAACTATAGTACTTAGGATATGAGAATGTGCTTGTACAACAATAATACAATCAAAACTAGGTTCAAGTTTTACAGTGAGGATGGTACTTTACTATGACTGGATCGGGATCAAATAAACCAAGTTTTTTTCAACTTGTGGATCTGTGACACATGACGGTTTTCTTATGTCAACTATGGAAGTTCACCGTACTCCCAATTCATTTAACTTTATAAGTTATGGTCACAAAGCAGAGCGCAGAAAATCGGTTTACTAATGAAAACCATACAAAAAATTGTTCGAATGAATGTTATACAGACAGAGATTTATTAAACTAATATCAAGATCACACATACATATCGTATCGGAAAATTCATTGTTACAAACCGATTAATTAATTACACATATCTTACTTATAACAGTAGAAAAAAACGATTATCACAATAAACCCATTAAAAATAGACAAGTTATAATAATTTGGAATCGTTACGAACAAAAATAACTAGCCTAGGATGGACAGATAAATCAGTAGTAATAATAGCAATGTAGTCAACTGATTCGAAAGTATAAAGAGGAAAATTTTACACACATATGTATATATATATATACACTTGCAGTTATCCCTATATCCAAAATAAAAGAATAACAAAGGTGTAAAGGAAGCAATAAATACTTTTGATTTTGAAAATATGCAATTATTCTTTGGAGGGAAGGGGTAAGCAAGAAGTAAATTAGTGAATTGAATTGAATCATTAATTATTTGAGTAAATTAGTAAACTAGTGAAAATAAAACACTCAATGTTAAAAATATAATCCATCATATTTTAAGTTAGAATCAAGAATGCTTGAACAAATCATCCACAACACATTTAATCCTACTGACGAATACAAACAACTATGTGAAATTAATGATCTGATGTTCTTCTTCTTTTATTATTATTATATAATTTGAAATATATTTCAGAAAAGAAAAGGATTTTAATATAACAAAAGGAATGAATCAGTGAACTGTATAATAAGTCAATGAAAAGCCACATACACAACACAATCACCATGGAAATTAATATTATAATATAAATTTACAAATCATTAATATGAATGATTGAAAGTAAGTAAATGAAGGAGTACAATTAAGAAGAGAAATAGATTAAAGATAAATGCGTATAATGAGAAATAGTTTATCATTTATGGGAGAGAAAAGACAAAAAAACAAAAACACAAAATGCTTTGTTTAAAACACCCTGAGTTATGGCAATGCTTGTCGGTTGGTTGTATTGATATTTACAAAACAGATTAATTGTAAATGCAATTCTTTGAATATATTAGTTGATTAAAGAAAATGCAAGTTAATCACAATCATAATAGAGATCCTAATAACTAAGCAGACATTTCACATTTCAATGCCTCAATGTTTTATTTTAATAATAATAATAATCAGTGTGAAATGAAATTGTTCTCATTATCATCTATATCAAATGCATTCTAAATGGACAATACAACTATATTTAAATAAATTAAAATGGAGAATAATTCATCCGATAATTATTTAAAACAACATGAAACATAAATTTCCATATTTTTCTTTTTAAAAAATAAAGAAAAGATGAGCAAAAAGACTAATAATCTGATAACATTCAGGTAGATAGTTTTAATGATCCATCAATCAATAACATGGAAATAAACTGCACAACCAAACAAAAATTTAAAATTGAATTCAATGAAATACTTGTTTAACTAATGAGTACTTTGGCGCAGTAATTTATCTCTTGATAATAGACGTCCACTACAACATTTGGATACAGCGGAATGAGTACCGTCGATATTGATCGACGTTGTGCTAGATGAACTTGTTGTGTCAAGTGGTGTTAATTTTGCTGGTTGGTGTAGACCACTATTATTATTATTATTATTATTATTATTATTATTATTATTATTATTATTATTATTATTATTAACAGTTGTGATGGAAGCACTACAACCAGTTAAAGCTGAATTAGCATGCTTATAATTAGTATCAGAAGTGACAAAATAATCTTCGAAAAATTCAAATAGAGTTGAGAATGTAGGACGTTTTTCTGGACAGCTATCCCATATTCGTAATAACATATCATAAATTGGTTGTGGACAATTCACTGGACGTGGCATACGATAACCAGAACTCACTTGATGCAATGTCTCTGTGTTATTCATTGATGGATAAGGAACTTGACCTAATGTAATTAATTCGTAAATAACAATACCAAATGACCAGACATCTGATTTTATTGTAAAACGACCCATTAATGCAGCCTCTGGTGCTGTCCATTTAATTGGGAATTTTGTACTTTTCTGAGCCATATATGTAGAGTAGTGATCTTCCACCATACGAGCTAAACCAAAATCAGCTACTTTAACACAATTATTTTCTCCAACTAAAATATTACGTGCGGCTAAATCACGATGAATATAGTGCTCTTTTTCCAAATAAGCCATTCCATTAGCAATCTATTATGATAAAGAATAAGGACAAAACGGAAAACAGTTTAGATAATTAGAAATGGATAGTAAATTGATCCACACATGGTCTCATCAGCCCTGGTGGAGTGGTGTCTGATAAAATCTCAGCACACATTCGAAAAGCTAGATAGATTTACGCCAACTCTCGATACTTGTGATGCAAGTTAGACAACCGTCTGCCAACCAGTTTCTCATTGTAGTGTGCAGAAGTCCCCACTGTATTACTCTATGACTGTGAAACTAACTATAGTAGTAAATGTTATGGGCATGCTGCAAGATTTTAATTACACCTACATTCAAAGTGCTCTCCGTGAGTATTGGGATATTGAAGTAAGCGATTACGAGATTAGACGCAAGATACTAGGTAAATATGGTACATCAACTGATCATGTAGTGAATATTGATCGACTGAGGGACATGAGTTGAGTATCAGCAAATACCGTCCATCTGGACAGGCGGTGTTTACAGCTGCAGTCATAAGTTCTTAATTATATGTTTATTCAGTATGATATTTGCTTTATTTTCAATGTAATATTTCACTCAGTTCAACACTGATTTCTTCTTGTGTGGTGTTTCTCCAACATAATATATTATCTGTATCAAATTAACGTGAACTATGGTCAGCATGACATGCAACGTGCGATTTCGTTATGATTTCATATATGTGACTTCATTCTAATTAATAATCGAGTGGGTATACAAATCAATATATGAATGAGTGTATTTTCGACTAGAGTGGTCAGTGTCGTGTTTTTGATGTGAATAAATCTTCATTTGTACCAGTAGTCTATTGCGTTTTTACTTCGCGTCGTGGGAATTATAGTAGTATATCGTTTTAAGTACACGGATATAACAATGTTACGTATGGATAATACCTTCGTAATGAGGTCATAATTTCAAAGGATTAATACTTCCTATTGCCGAAGAGTCCGAAGGGATATAATATGTACACTGAGGTTTGTTTGTAATAGAATAGATAAGTGATTGATTGTTATAACCAAACTGATTTAATTAACGGTATCTGATAAGTCTTGCGATTTTGAACGCTATACTCGATTCCTAAGCTATTCTTGAAAACCCCCAAGCTAAAACTATACAGCGACCTGCAACAGAGCCTCCGGAGGGCCTGAAGGAGCCAAAGAGTCTTAGACAATCAGACCACGATGGAGCTTTCTAGAATGCCAACGTGGCGTGCTACTATTGGTCAGTAGCATAATATGTCTTTTAGCGGATTGGCCAAAATGTGATGTCGATTTAACAAATGTTAATATCTATAAATACCCATGTTTTTCTGTACAAAAATGAACCTTGGAGTAAAGTACTTTTCGCATACTTTGCGTCTTCTCTCTCGTGTTCAGGTCGCTGTATAGTTCCAGCTTGGGGGTTTTCAAGAATAGCTTAGGAATCGAGTATAGCGTTCAAAATCGCAAGACTTATCAGAATCATTAATTTATATATTACAAGTATTAAATATTAATTCCTGTTCTAGCAAAACTGTTTAGTCAGTCCGTGGTGCATGCAAAATACAAAATTTAACAATCTCCACAAAACGCGATGAATAGAGAATAGTAACTTATTGTTGCACTGCATTATATTTTGTAATTGTATAGTTATCAGAACTCTTTATTTTATTTAAATTTCACACATTTAATCACTTATCAGGTAGATGTATTTGCATTAAAAAATAATCAACCCATATTCTCATAAAATCTAAGTTCATATACACCATAAAATCGACTCTTAAGAACTGAATTTTGACTTCTGAATGATTTGTGCACTCGATTTATCGTATCCTTTTAACATACATGTAAACTAGTCAGTTTAAAATGACTTGAATGAGCTACCCTATTAGATGTAATTTTTTTAATGAATTAAATGTTAAGATAATACTTATGTATCCGGGAATTGTTTATACTGTTCATTAGTATATAATAGAAACAATGATTTGAAAAACATAAAACATTACCTGAGCCATCATATCAACCAATTGATTAATCAGTAAATTTTTTCCAGGTCCATCACGAAGATATTGTAGTAGACTACCATTACACATTAATTCAGTAACAATATAAATAGGATCTTCTGTGCATACAGCATATAATCGAACTAATTTCGGGTGTTGAGCTGCACGCATAATACGAGCTTCTTTTAGAAAATCCTCTTTGGTCATTGTACCTTGTTTTAAAGTTTTTACAGCAACTTCTGTAGTACCATTCCATGTACCTATTTAAAGAACATCAAATCAACAAAGAAAATGTTGTGATATTAGTATAATTTAGGGATAAAACGAGTAGGTAACCACTATTTACCTTAGCCATAGGGTATTGCATAAACATACGCTGGGTTACCAAATCGAACTACGTAGGTATTTATTTAGTGGTTACGTAGAATGTGGATTGATAATCTCTGGATAAAGAAAATTGTCAGCACGATAACATTTTAACCACAGATTACTGTTTTCCTAATTCTCAGTCTAATAAATTCAAACTAAACTAAGTGTGAAACGTATATGAAGTTTCTTGTGTAAATTTAGTTACCACAGAGAACGAACAGTGAATCAGGCATTCTCTTCACCGTAATACTTATGATACCTGAGGTTAGAATAATTCCCATCTGTATTAATACACTTTAAGGTTGTGAAGAAAAATTTTCAAAACCGTACGACAAAAGTCGCCTATACGTATTACTATCTTTAATTTACATAGATATCAGTGGTCCCTGAATAATTCAAATTTGTTTCAATACAGAAATACTGTAGATAACCGTGTCATTTATTATCTGATGTAGAAATTAATTTATTCAATACAAAATGTTTTGATTTGTTAACCAAAATTAAAAAAGTCCAAGAGCGAGAAGATTAACGTACCACATTTTCTAAGGCGATCAACATTCAAATTACAGTTGGAAACAAATAAGGCATATGACACCAAAACTATGGACCAATTCACCAGGGAATTATCATCAGTACATGGCTCCTAAGACTGAGTTTTAACTTATATAAGTCAACAAAAGCAGTTATTTTAACCAACCTATTAGTTAGTATCTGAAAAGATTAAGGTTACACAACACAGATACAGATGTAGTTCAGCTGTGATTAAATGAGACACAAATGTCGATGTTAGTTCACATTGAAAAAATCAATACAGTAGTAGAATACTACACCTAAATTAATCAGTTGGTTTTCTTCTTCCAGGTTAGAAAATAATACACATGTCTTAAAGGAAATTACTGCTTGTCATCTATAAAATGAAAGCATAAGTTAAATGGAGGGTAAAAACAAGTTTGGAGTGACTTAAAATATACTCCTACATCAATCGACTACCGACTGCCCCGACGTGCGATGTTTTTTGGTGTAGGAGTAGGTTGGAACAAAGCTAGGGGCGGCCATACCAAAACATGGCACAAATCCATGAAGTCACTGACAAGTGGACTGAGTCATGTTGGTAGGTGTAGACTACCTGGTTGGGGACCGCGAGATGATAGCAACCGGTGGTTAGAGACCTTGAATGACATGGCTCAAAATCGTTTGCAATGGTGGAGGTGCATCCACTCTTTGTGTTCTCCCAAATTATAATCTTCTGAATTCTTCATGTCCTTTATTTTCTTTCCCAATTTATTCCACTGGACTATACTCCTTTAATAACATCATCAAACCTTAATGTCCCCTATCTCTACTTATACTTTAAGTACCTCTATCACTATGGAATTTGAATCGATAACTGCATCTCTGTGCTAATGTGGTATGGCAACTCGAACTGATGTACGTACATAAGAAGTTCCACGTTGTTACTGACTGACTGAATCAGGATCAAGAAAGGGACTTTTAAATAATCGCGCAAATATCAAACCGACATGTTTTATGGTTAATATTAATGAATGAAACACCACTTGGCACTTACAAACCCTTAAGACTGATGAAAAGACATTTACTTGTGAATGTGAAGACGAAATAATTGTGGATGAGTTCAAAGAATTACAAGGTAGAGTGAGATTTTGCAGCAACATTCGCTAATGCTAAGATCGAAGTAGGATTAGGGTTGTGGTTGGTATGAACTAAACCTGGACTAAGAACCTTAATTCACCCACTAACAGTTAAAAGCACATAATAGTCAACTTAGAAAATATCATTATCGTCTAAATTCCATACATTTCTAGTAAATCCACTTATTTTTTTAACAAAAATTAGAGTTTCATTATGGCTTTTCTCTGACTAACCTACTTATGAAATAATCACTTGGTAGGGGGAACTTTAAACATAGAGTTGGTGAGTAAAGTAAACACACAAATACTTTAAACATCGATTTGCAGAGGGTTTGGGCGCCCGAGCAGTAATCCAGCCCTCATACAAATTGAATGACAAAGTGTGGTACATACATATTTGTTGCTTTTTTGTACCAATGTTCATGTGTTGAAATAATTTTTTTTTAAATATATCTCGTTTAGTAAATAATGTGTTATCTACATGTACTGTAATGTTTGTAGCAATTAATATGAACTAACAAGCGTACTGATACTTCAGCAAAAAACAGTGAACGAATGGACGCAAAAAGTGGTAATAAACTCGTGATCTGATAATTAAAGAATATAGTAATTCTTGAAATTAGAATGGATACGAATGGTATCGGAATAGGAATGGATAGGAAATGAAACAGTTTAAAGAATAAGTATAAAAAAAATTAATAGATGTTAAAATGAGGCGACCAACCATCTTTTTATGCACTCCAACTAAGTAAAAGCTTATAAACTGGTCATTAAATATAATTAAGCTTTTTTTCTGGCTATTTCTGTTATATATTCCTAAATAATTTCAGTATGTTAAGTTAGTAAACAGTATCGAGAAAAAACGTATTGACAGATCTATTAGTGTCTGTGAGATACACAAATTGGGAGAAAGAAAAGTGGATGCGAACAATCGTTAAACTAAACTAGCCTAACAAAATATCATGTAAACCATTATATATATATATATATATATATATATATGCATACCTTTCCAAACTTCACCAAATTGTCCAGCTCCAAGTTTTTCAGTCAAAACAATTGAAGATTTAGATATTTCCCAGTGATCTTTTGTTTTAACCGATAAATCTGAGGTTATTGGTGGTGGACACAGACATGCCCTTGTAAGTTTACAACATAAACCATGTGAATCAATTGAGTAAAATTGTATTAATTCTTGAAGACTAGAAAAACTACACTTGGTTGTAATATAATAATAGCGATAATCTGGATGTTTGATACGATAATGTTTCACTGTATTCATAATACCTGATAATCCACGTTCTTCATCTCGTACAGATAATGTTAGGGAACCTGAGAAGAAAAATATTACGGGAAGTTACGTTTTAGAAATGATCAATATTTTGATATGGGGAATTACAACAAAGAGATAAAAATTAGGTTTTATCAGAATACATATTCAATGTAAAGATGATTTTAAATTATATAGAAGATAATATGAAACAGTAAATAATAAGATATTAATTGATAATTTGACCTAAATTTAAGAGATATTTATTACAATTAAAATTTACTTTATCGATCGAATGAGGGAAAAAAACTTATTTAAAAACTAATGAGGTCACGAATAATGAGCAATTGAAACTTAAATGTCTAACTTGAAGCTTTTAACCGTTGGGATGTGAGTTTGATCGATTTCAATAAGACTTAACATCAATAACATGAGATATTTCTATGACTTAAATTTGTTAGCCTACAGATTTTTCTAAAATAAAATTCTACATGATTAAAATATTTAAAATTAAGGGGAATAGTAAACATGTTTGAAACTTTATGAAAACATTTCCACATATCAATCATACTTCTCATTTGCTAATTCCTAATTGATGAGAATAGCACTCTGAGATATCGGTGACAATATGCTTGTGTTACCAATAATTCATTTCATCATATCCAATATAAGTTGAAATAACCACGAACCACTTCAATTCGTGTTGTTTCCCTAAATTTCGTAGATGTAGCTACCAAACTCGTTTTTATTAGTTGAATCCAATAAGAAAAACATATGAATGCAGAAATATACAAGGGTAAGTTCCTACAAAATATATTTCATCACAACCAAATATAAAAAGTGAGTTGTATATTGCTATCTATTAGCCCCAACTTCTCACAAGAAATAAACATTACTGTGTATACCTAGAATTGGAAAATCTTCGAAATATTCATAAGGGTAAATATCATTAGAATTCCTAGTAGTGGGAAGTTCATATGAGCTGGATGACAGAGATAAACAATGTAGAACCGGGGACTAATGTGTCGATATTCTTAATGATCTATCGTTTTACATACATAATATCTCTGGGCCCGCCTATAACAGAATGTTTAGGTAACACAAATTGAGACGACAAACGGACACATTGGAACCACTACTGTATATTTTAAGCCTACTGATTGATTTCCTATATTCCTCTAAACCGTTTTCAAACCAATGGTAAAATATCTCTTCAAGTGGCCACAAAACTAAAAAATGAAAGTGATTACAGCGCAAGTATTTGGTTTTTCATAATAATAGAGTTCTAGATGTATTCGTTATAATGCAAATTCAATAGTCACTTTTAATATAGGAGAAGAGAGAAATGTATGTAAGATAATCTTATTTATGAAAAAAACTCATTGAAGTATCAAATTGAGTTTAAAACGAAAATACATAGGTTATCTATATGAGAGAAATCGTAGGAATTATGCTGCAGTTACTCTGAAGCTATTAAGATTACAGACCAGCATAAAATGTAAAGTGAATCCTCGGAGGCCAACCCATGAAGAAAACGGACAAAAACTAGAGTGAGCCGTCCACGCGTTCTTAGTTTTGTGGTGAATAGGAATTATCCCACCACTGTCCTTATCTAGATCATGTATGAACCAAATCCCGTCAATAAAGTCATAGACGTCACACTTTAGAAAATAGAAGTTTAAATTTGGTTTCAATGTACTTCCTCAAACATTTAAAGTGAATTTAGCTCAACAGTGAAAATTTGCCACTGTTCACATTAATAGTAAGCCTTTCAATTAAGACGCTGTTTGACTTTATAATGATATACAGTTAACAAAACATGGATATTGTTTGGTTAACTGCAGTTGAAACCAATAAAATATGCAAAATAAAAAGAGTCCGAACGAAACTGAAAAACAACTGGTAAGTGTCTGTGGTATCAAGTGTCGAAATTTGGGAAATATTTTATCTAACTGTGCACTAATAGATTTATTAGGACTTAGTTGTACAGATAATGGCTAGTTATGCGACAGTCACAATAAAAAGTAAACTCTGTATGTGAATACCACCAATAAAACAGGTGTATTAGATATTCCTGTCGAACTGTTGAGCAACACAGAATTTACAAATTTCAGAAAACGTTTCACCAACTGAGCTACTGGTTAAATAGAAGCTAAGAATACACCATCGTATGATGCATTAAAAAGCTGGTTGAACACTTCAACAAAGCTGTATAACGCAACAAAAGAATGACTAGACCGAAAGTGTTTGCTTTCAGGTTGTAGTGCATTAGTCTAACGGTCTGTTGGAATCACAAACAAGGTGACTTTACGTCATGGCCCCAAATGCCCTGGTACGGCCGAGGATGAGAAGTTTGCTCTTCATCTCGAAATACTCTCACATGGCCACGCGTATACAGCCACTGCCATGTAAGTCCTACTCACCAGATTTAAAGTACCTAAAATAAACGAACTCAATTAGAAAACAGACAAATCCTCAGCTTGTGGCGTTATGGACGTGGTTACGAACTAGGTAGTGTGGAATCCCTAGGATTCCAATTAATGTAACCGTATTCATTTATATGCTTGGCTTTAAGCCACGTATTTTTGCGAAGGTAGCGAAGTGAGATACAAATATGGGGCTAACAGGTTGAAGTTATGACGTTTTAACTATGATATCAAGATTAATAGATAGATGTGAATCTTTGGTTCATGAGGATTAGTTTAGCAAGAAACTATTATATAAATTACTAATCAATCGACCAACTGCTTTAACTTTTGACGCAAACTAGTGTTGAAGTATTTCTGTTGAGTAGAATATAACGGACCGAAAAACAAATTAGCAGTAAACTATTGTATCTTAGTTTATAGGACAGTGAACAAACGATCGAATAATTCAAATTCAGTGAAAAAAAAACAAGATTTATACTCAAATCCGGTTTTTGCATCAGAAATTCAAGCATATAGTTTCCGCTTAAAAACAAAGTAGAAAAGCTAAAGACAATCGTAATCTATGACAATCTTACGAACCACCAGAAATATGAGATTCGGACCGGCTGACGATTACTATAGGCACCGATATTATAATAAATACTTAACAAGTTTTATAATTCTTAAAGGGGATACCTAGAGTAGCTTTAAGACTTATGAAAAAACAAATTTATTACTGAACAGCTTACCGAAAGTTACTCAAAACCGTGGTATAACATATGAAATGTTTATTTAATGAGATTACTTTTTATGGTTGACTTACCATGACTGGTTTCACTTTCACGTACTAAAAATACGCCTTGCGCATTGCCCTCCAGTAATAGCAGTCTTTCGGAGTCCTTACGCGACAACTTGGGCATAAACCATCTATATGTAAAATATATATATATATATATATATATATATATATATATATGTATCGGTAAATATTCATTTTCGACTGATAAGTTTATAGTGGTTTTTCAAACCGTTACTTTTTATAATGAATGCCGTCACCAAAGTAAACAATTTATAACAAACTGTTTAGTTAAATATGCTAGAAGAAATTAACATCCAACTTTGATATCATCTCGCATTCGTGAGTATGATGACTAGGTAGGGTCTGGAGTGAAAACTTACAACAACCTATCTTTAAGCAAATAAGGATCTAGAAACAACATAATTCATTTAACTAGTACTTGTTGGAACAGTTTAGAGCCAAATGATTCAAACGAAAAGTCCCGCCACTGATTTAAAGCCTCATGGATTAAAATTGCAGATCCATAAACGTACCGAATACCTATTCCTGCTCGATAATCATCATGAATCGAAGACATTGAATTTTTGATATCTGAATTTCAGTATCTTCAGATCGTTGATCACACCTAATTAAATTACTGAGTACGGGATATCAGAGGTGAATGTACTATCCTCTAGATGGGAAGCAAATAAGTTGATTAGTTTCATCGAATGAAACAATATGATTCTATGTACGTCCTTGGCAAATATCGGTTGGCATAAAAGCACAATAGTAGTTTCACAGTGATCAACCAAGATCTAAGAGAAAATTGAAGATTCCTGGTTAATTAGTAAAAGGAAATTAGTTTTAGAAAATCATGAGACTGATCTATGACTTCAATTATGAACCACGTAAGCATTTTTGTTACCTTTTTAATAGATTATATACTGAGTTGAATATAAGCGAACCAAGTGAAATTTAAAAGAAAAACAGTTCAACCAAAAACATACTCTTCAGCTTCAACTGATCCTTTTTTCGCAACAAACGAGCTTGGAACGTATCCTTTCCTACCGGAACTTAAGTTTTGTACAAGCCACCAATCTGAATCACTGAAAAGAGTAGAAAGTAAGGTCATTACACTGAATTAACAGGGAATTTATACGGTTTGACACCGATACTTTTGATAATACTTCCAAAGAAATATATTACAAAAACAAACTAAAACAAGAGAAATATGGACAACCTCATGATACGATGGACAAAAATTATTAAACACTGGTCTTTTTGTGGTCACTATTCCCTAACCCGAACTAAGTATCCTCTTTTGATGAAAACTTATCTTGATTCAGTACTTTGTATGTAAACAATAGCTTGAGTTTTCTTTTACATTTAGGTGTTAGGCAGTTTGTTTGAGGCTTGAACGTCGGCTCCGCAAGCAAATTACAAGATAGTCACATCTCTGCCACAATTATATCAAATTGATCGCTTTGTAACAGCGCTCATCAACCACGTATGTCCGCAGGTGTTAAAAATTTGAAGCTTGTCAATACTGCCCACTTCATTAAAGTAAAAGAGGCTAGAATAAGCAATAAGCTAATTAACAGTAAGTACATCAATATCAATGAATTACTGACAGGTTTTAAGCAGTATCTAACAAGTTCAGTGATAACATTTAAACTAGGAAGGACTTAGAATCATAACGGAATCAAAATCTTAAGTCCGGTATGGGTTTTCCGACATTGATAATACATTTTTTGACCTGATACACATACATCCTGGTACAGTTAAGCACTAAAAAAGTATGCCACACAAACAGATCGAGAATAATGTGAAGTAAAGAGGGTTAATGGAAGTACAATTAAAAATAAAATAAACCAAAGAACAAGAATAGTACACATAAGTTACGGTTTAGTTAAAAATGCAAGTATTTTGACCAATTACTTCACGTTTTACACAACACCACTGATAGTAAACATAACAAAATGCTGTGAAAAAGGATAACCTATAAAACTGATTTTAGATTAACGGCGTAAAAAGTCGTGATTATTACGCAATAATAATCACAATAGTCACGTAATAATCATGTGGGGCCACCTTTACCTTTATGCCCCCAAATGCCCTGGTATGGCCGAGATTGGAGAGTCCACTCTCCCTCTCGAAATGCTCTCACACGGCCAGGCGTATATAGCCTCTGCTAGGGAAGTCCTACTCACTGCATTGCCCCCAAATGCCCTGGTACGGCCGAGAGTGGGGAGAGTCCACTCTCCCTCTCGAAATGCTCTCACATGGCCATGCGTATATAGCCTCTGCCAGGAAAGTCCTACTCACTGCCTTCTCGTGGCGGGGGTGTTGTTTACAAAAATGAGAGGACGAAAAGCGAATGTCTGGCGCTTTAACCGGACCCCAAACCAATGGTGCACATGGGCTCCAGGATCCTGCGGGAACAAATGGCGTATGAACCAATCGTTGGTCACCGGCTACCATGGGACTGCATCTCCTCACGATGCTCCACTGCCTTGTGGATCAGACGTTCAGGTCAAAGGCTCGGGTGTGGCTCCCTAAGACAACCACGTGCTTCGGTTTGGGCACCCGGGCAGTATCACAGCCCTCACACATATCAAATAAGATTTGTGTGGCGCATATGTATTTGGTTCCTCCTTGTACCAATATCTATGTGTTAAAATGACATAAATAAGTGTGAGCCTAAGGCACATATTAGTATACACTAAAATGAAGACAGTGAAAGTATCACACATAGATTCAAACTGATTTGATTCAGTTGTAATCCTTGAGCTCCTTTATTTTTATAGAGATACTGGCCGAGACAATACATAAAGGTGAGCAGAAAACACTTCCTAATAAATCACTGTACTACAGTTATGAGCCCAAGTCAATAATCAAAAGAAGTCAGGTTAAATTACTACATTAAAGACTCAATTGTTCCGAATATTATGCTAACAGTTTATTCAACTAACAATATATATATATATATATATATATATATATATATATATATATATATATATATGTCTGAATCGGAATGTTTATAGTCGCATCTACAATGTAATAAGAGTTAGACAATTAGAAAAGCAACTGTGATTGCAGCAACTAACTATGAAGTTAATTCTAGTTAAAAAGTTATAACTGTGGATTAGACCTCCAAGGCAAACTCTCAGGGAGCGTACCCCAAGGGAAAATAACTACTTCGGCTTGAGTACGTCGGTAGTATCCCAGCACAAACTTAATGATGTGGTGCAAACCTATTTCCACGCCTCTTCGTATTAATTTTTACTCGCCGAAATAAGCAAATGAATAATAATGATCCTGTAAGACAGGATAACAACAACAAATGTAAAAAGCTAAGATAAAAAAAGTTGAAAATATCACGAAGATCACTAAAGGAACAGATTGTAGAACCAAAGATACATTTTACCATGAAAAATCAAGGCCTCGCTAAGGCACTAATTCTCATCTTTTTACCATCCTTTAGTGCAAAATAGATCTCATATGCAGTTAAATATTTTTAGCCGAAATTATTTTCACATATGATTCTTGTAGAGGCTAACAGAAATACGTGTACAATCATTAGTATTTAGAATCATATACGAAGTGAAAATAGGGCCGTTAATGTTTGTACATCCCCAGCCACTAGGAGTAGTCAAGGCAATAGCTATTATTTTCCCGACCAAATACTGGGTCGATGAAAGTAATAATAATGACTTTCTATGTTAAATTTTAGTTCCTTCTGTAAGTTTCAATAATTTTCGTCATACAATCTAAACCCGGCGTGAATCGAAAGCTTGGAAATTAAGATATGCAGCGTTTTGAGGAGTGATAAAGTTGTAATATGATGAAAAATGCACTTACTTGTCAGCTAACAGCAAGACTTCATCTCTTCGGGAAAGAAATGTTTCCTCCTCTGTCCGAGCATTATAATCGAACAATGCAACGTAATGTTTAGGCTTAAACTGCTTGAAACTTTTACCGCTAATCTTCGTAGTGGTTACATTTTGTGTTTCAGAATGATGAGAAAGATCTATTCCAACGTTTGATGTGGGATTTGTGGATTGACATGGCTGCACCTTGGATTTCACACAGTTAACCAAAGGCGGATTGTTTTGAAAAGTTTCAGAAACTCTAGTTTTGGTGGATAGGGCTCTGGACGAAAGGAAAAGACTGACGTCGTCCATTGGCTGTGAGACTTTAACGTCAACGCTATTGCTAATCTCGCCGTGTCCCAAATTGAACGCTCTATCCTTTACAGACATCAATATAACCATGCCTTGGAAGCAATTCCCCATAACTTCCTGCAAACAGGCGCATCTCAAATGCTTGACTTGTCTGTGGACAAATGTTCCGACAATATTCAAACTTAGCGCAACGGCTTGCTGGACCAAAAATATTAAAGGAACCGAGATCCAATATCCAGTTTTAGTTTCAGTTTGGAAAGAAAAGGAGGCCAAGTGTCTTGTATGATTCCTGGCAACGGTGTTTACTCAGTCGAATCAACCTTTTTTGAAAGCGTCAGCAGATGGAGATTCATGATACTGGCTCAAAATATAAATGGCAAAACTGAGTGATCGCTATTTAATAACGGTGGAGGAATATTTAGGTTGACAATATCTTCAATCGCATGAATGATTACCATGTCCAACACAGAAAAACTTTGGCTAGCGCGAGAAATTGTGTGTTTGGGTACATGCTGTACTAATGCATGCTCCAATACTGCTATCAGGAACCTACTATCAAAGGAGTTTATAGATATTTCCATGGTCATCTCAGTCCAACTAATATCAAGTGCGATAAAGTCTCCAAATACCAAACATCTACTATTTGCACCTTAAAGCTGAATGTGCTTTAAAATAAAGTCACCAGCGAACCAAGGTTCTTCTTTGTTGGACATGGTAATCATTAATGCGATTGAAGATATCGCTAACCTAAATATTCTTCCACCGTTACTAAATAGTGATCGCGCTGTATTGTCATTCGTGTTTGGAGCTAGTGACATGATACACGATCATATTAAGCCTCGCCTAAGTGTATAGAGATCTAACAGATCAGCCTTTCAGGAGTGCGCTGTTAAGCAGACTGGTCAATAGATACTAGCTAGTCAGTTGAAGAAGCATGTGCTATATCTAAAGGCAGGCTTAGTTCAGTTACGTCCTCGTTCTTACTATACCTGGTACCAAGTAGACCGAATAACCGTCTAATATGGATAACTAAACAAGTCAAGAAACTTCTTAGACGTAGGAAAAGCACTGGAATATGTTCATCTCTACTAGCTTAGAACAATACAGATCCAGTTATTATACGATTAGGAATGCTTGTAAAGTATTAATAAGCAAGACTAAATGATCATATGATTTTGGTGGCTTGTTGATTAACCTTTAAGCTATTGAGAAAGGTGTTGTCTTAATACTACTTCAGCATCTCGAACCCAATAAGTTGAGTGGTCCAAATGATATTTATCCTAGGATTATGAAAGCCGTATCGGGTGTAATTGATAAACCTATAGCCATATTATTTGATATGTTTCCGTCGCGGTTCCGACTGCCAAAAGACTGGGAAGACATAATAATTAGTCCGCTGTATAAGGATAGTAGAGTTTTAGTTGGTAACTATCAACCCGTTAGTTTAACTAATGCAGTTGTAAAACTAATGGAAAAGATCATTTGAATGTTTGTTATAAACTATGTGGTAGGCCATAATCTTTTATCCAGGAAACAACATGGTTTTCGGAAAGGCTTACCATGTTTGACAAATCATCTCACTGAAAGGGAAGGTTGAGCCGCAGCAAAACATAAAATATCTCTGTAAATATGATTTTCATATATCTACTACGAGTGACTGGATCATATGTTTCGAAAACCTTTAGTGACTATTGCGCAGCAGTGTGCAGCAGGTTTTAGGTCTTAGCTAATGATGACTACTATGTCATTATGCATGTGCACAACAGGAAGCTCAGTGTTATTCACTGTATATGTATCTGTACCTTGGTGACGCATCACAATGCACTCGGAAGCATTTATCAACAACTGTCAAATTCTAGACCAATTAGATAAGTTCTCCGATTCATTTTGAAGCTCTAAGCTATCATTTTTACTTTTAGCTCTTCATATTCTTACATCAGCAATATGAAAAGTGGCCGATGATGATCATAAACTGGGAAGGTCATACACGTTCAGCAGGAATAACTCCGGCCACCAAACTTAAAATGCCATAGGTATTTGGAGTTTGGTAACATCTTTACACGTTATCTTAACAATCGAAATATGTCAACCCAGTCAAACAAGAAGTCAGAAGTGAAGAGGTTCTAAGTTATGTGTGAAGGACCATAAAGATATCAGGAAGTGTTTAATTTAAGCTAGCTAACAGCTGCGGGAAACACTCTTGGCCGGGTGTGAATGCGTGACTGACCACCTTCATCTAGATGTGTTCGTTAAAACTAATGAGGTTAGCATCAAATGACGAATAATTACAGAACTATTTGTTTTGGAGATTTATTTACCACTATACTGTACTCAAAGGCATTCTGAGAATTGGAGTTCTAGAGATAGACAAATTTAGGTTCACCCGTATCATTTGTTGACGTACGACTATAAAGCGCTTAATCTTCACAAATAAACTGCCTCCGATCTCGATATTGCTTACCTTATATAACAGACAGCTTAGTGGAACTTTGTTAAGAGCCTTGCTGAAGCGAATATAAGCCGCATCTATGGGTAACTTTTGACTTTTAAGAGCGCACCAACTTTCATGAGCTACTCATAAATTGTTGAAATATTAATATCTCTTTCCAAAGCCATGCTGCTTTTCAGAAAAACTTTCGAATGATAGTATCTAAATTCATAACATCCGCGACATATTTTTGTAATGATCCCATATTAACCTAGCAATTAAAATGTATCCTTTTCTTGTTGTTACGGTGAGGTTTCAAGTTTTCAGTTTCGTTCAATAAGGATTATCTTAGCGGTTCTGCTCCACTAATTCAGACGAATTTGATAGCTGTCCCAAGGTTAATATTTACTAGATATGAATCAATATGACGTGAGACTCTGCGGTTCTGAAACAAAATCTATTTTGCTTAATTTATACTCGATTTTAAATGAATTAATTAGTTGCTAATCCAAATAATGAGCCTGATAAACTACTTCAACGTTTGTTATATCAATATAAATAATTGAACTTGACTAGCAAGAGTTTTGGCAACAGAAATTCGTATACCTTGAAAAATGTGGCCATGTAAAGTAGGTACATTTTCACTGGGTCCTGGTCAGTTCTCTCGGCAGTCGAGTTACTGGATATGGAACAGCTTACCGATCCTCATCGAGGCCGAGGAAAACCTACACAAATCAACAATTTGCACGCCATGGACTCGCCCATGCAGCTGTGGCTGCAATCTGTTCCTTTCACATACTCCTGATGCATTTCTGCAATAACGTGGCTTGTGTGGCACGGTCTTCAAGTTAGCCATAGCACCTCAATACGACGAAAGGGTAATCCAAGTTCAATAATACTCGTGGAGTGTGACTTCAACGTATTCTAGAAGGTTGCACCATTCTTATTCAGTTGGAGTATGTTCCCTATCATCGACACAGATCACTCACGTTGGCGATCTTGAGTCGAATTTAGGTTTGTTCTTAACGGCTGTGTTACAGTCTGTCTAAACAAACGCACCGGAGCATCGAGTCACATAATGATCTATCAATTTTGAACTAACCCAAAAATCTTGCCCCTATAATTCCATCTTTTGTCGTCGAACTAATATTCAGCCATTTTTCCAGGCACGTAAGAAGAATTTTAGCTTTAATATTCACTTAGGATATCAAATTTAGTTCACGTTCCATACTAAATGACGTTAGGACGTTCTTGTATGCTACACAAAACAGTAATGTTGCATGGATCACAATTTATTTAAAAAGACATCAATATGGTCTGGAATTCGCCTTAATCCTTTGTGGCATGATGCGTAATGCAAAAATATATGTCGATGTATAAGACTGGTAGCCCTCTTAGTAGTTTCTTTTATTCAGAATAGTAGTTCCATTTCTCTAATTAACCAATCTTCTGACAACAATAATTGCATTTATCTCAAATACATACTCTGTGTGTATAACCACGGACAATTCTTAACAACCTGGCCTGTTTGGTAGGATTTGAACAATACGCTTTATAAATTAGCTCTCGGATAGTTTATTTCAGTTTTTTTAAATCATACAATTCATTAACCCAAAAATTTTGTCTTTGAACCCGTTTAAAGACCCAGAGTCGTTAACAAAAATGAGGACAGTCAGTCAAAGATCAGAGTCAATATCTTTAGTTACACTAAACTTGTAGCTGAAGTAACCAAGGAGTAGATGAGCCAAAATTAGAAAAGGGGAGGAAAATCAATGACTTTCGAAGCTGAATCAGATAGTTGATGAATAGGTAATGCTAGAATATGAAGACAACCCAAACTCTGAGCTGATACAAGAATAACTACACCGAATAAATAATACTGCCAACGATAATGTACTGGCCAGTCCAAAAATTACATTAGTATCACAGATGGACTGGAGTGTTATGGAGTAGTCACTATAGCAAATTACAAATAGCTTGCTAACTTTTGCTGTTACAATATTGCCTTCTTAAATGGTTTTGGTGGGTGTGCGATGTCCCAACGAACCGTATCTCTATGATTAAATGGGGACCGATGGAGTCACTATCCTGACCTTTTTGATTATCGAATGAGAGAGTGAATGTGACTATCCGATGTGACGCTCCTGAAGCTCATTGAGTCATGGATCTTACGTTATTAAGTGAAACTAAGCTCTACGTGAAGAGAACATCAATATATCGTTTAATAAAACGGTATAGGACATATTATGTTAAAATGCACGCTACGGTGTCGGCGCCCTATGATTTAGAAGAGCGCCAGGTGCAAACAAGTATGTCATAATGAAGTCTTAGGATGACATAGAAATGATTATAGACCGCATGTTCAAAAATGAGTTTAATTGTGCTCGTTAAGGCTAGAGAGCATCACCTGCGGGTGACGACAGAGTGACTGTGTAACAATAAATGTGGCCCCCTTCCCTAACCTTTTGAGACCGAATATTTGCCTTTTTATAGAAATCCAGCTTTTATGCGGTTATACCAGTAGAAGGAGAAGTTAAAGGGCACCGTGACCTAGGTTTGAAACATAAAAAGCTCATATGGATTTACAAGGTCAAGAGGTATGTTGAAACGGTGACTTGAGAAGTACTGGGAGCTCAGCACTCAAGCAAGACCTCACTTAATAAGCCGCTTCAGCCAAGGAAAGTACAAATTGATTTAAATTGTTCTATCAAGCAGTGATCTGTCTATTGAATGAAGGACATTTTAAGTTACTTCGTAACTTATAAGTCAAAGCATATGCCTTTATGTCACTTTTATTGCTTTGATCAAAAAAATTAAGTTAAATCTACTTTTATGATATGCCAAAATTATTGGCATGCATACATTTCTCCATTCAGTGTCTTTTGTGCTTTGGCTATTCGTATATTTGTTACTGTACCATTTTGAGTTAGATTAATTGTATATGGAGGTTACTTTAATGTTGATAACTGTAGAAATTGTTAAAATGGATTTATTATGAAACTAGGTTTTGCATCATATACATTTTCTCACTAATTCTCATAATCTCTACTACTACCATTATAGACTGCAACTCTGTTGTTAAAAAACATGACCTTTGTTCTTCTATCTCGTTTTTGAACACCTCATTGCATCGCAAACTAAATACCGCTCAAAACAAAATTGCAGCAAACATAAGCCTCTGGTCCTAAATTATCCAGTTATGATACAAGAGCTGATATATTTTTTGAGGTGTTTTGTGGATATTATAGTAATTAATTAGTTGAATTCATGAGTCAATTGAAGCTAAACCATCACGGAAAACCTGAAAGAACTGGACGCCCTTTTCGTCCTATTATGGGACTTCTCAACAGTGCGCATCCGCGATCCCGCCTGGCGAGCGCTTAACCTCTAGACCATGATGAGACAAAACGGCCATCCAATGCTTTCAGGTTTTCCATGGTGGTCTAGCGTGGATCGACTCACAAATTCCACTATTGAATTACTATAATACCCATAAAACTCGTCTCCGATTATAATCATCATATGCTCACTGAATACTGACTTCAAGAGTTATTTCTTGAAATTCTAGTGAGAAGACTTGACCAGTGGAGTCCAACTGGGTCTGTTGTGAGATAGTAACCCACAGATGACAATGGTGGACGATGGAGCAACTTCGTGGATTGGTTGAAATTAAACATTAACACATTTGTATGCCAGCTGAGTGGTCTAGAGTTTAAGCGTTCGCACGCGAAACTGACTGGCCTTGGGTTCGAATATTGTAAGGCAGAATCGTGGATGCACACCGCTGGGTTGCAGCATAATTGTCATTGAGACAGTTAAGAAAGTTAAGTAATCTAGTGGATGGCTAGTTAATGTGCTCCATCACAATCAATACATTGCACGACTCATGAGATATAAACCAAAGATTACAAGTACGATAGCTTATGTAAATATGCAGGACAGTTTGTCGAGTTATTAGTTGGGTAAATAAACTTAAATGTCCAACCGGTTAAAACATGTTATTTTGCACCGAACATGTACTCATGAAGCTTTTTTACTATCAATCCACAGCTAAAGCCTTCTCTTGGGTTTGAAAATATCCTTTCTCACTTTTGCTTAATCATCTCGAAATAAAAATAACGGGTCTGCCGTTGTACTCTGGGAATGCACTTTACAACAATGGAAATGCATCTGTAGTAATGATAGATTTTTTCAGTCGGTGAAAACGGTTAGAAGGAAGTCTCACCATCTAAAAACTGTGAAATGTTCCGTATTGTATCCTCGCGTCGTTGTCCCAACACAACCTTGACCAGAAACCAAGTAGGAGTGTAAACAATATTTTTTTAAAGCTAGGGATAAATCCACGATCGGAATACTGAGATATTCTTAAGTGATGGTGCTTGAATTGATGGAGCTAGGCGACTCATATTAGGTTTAAAACACTTAGCGCTTACAGTATAGTCTAAGAATTTGATAGAAAAAAGTTGAGACTGACACTTGGATGGGTTTACGGCCACATAAGAGTCTAAGTAATTTTAAAAGACGTTCAATATGTAACTTGACATTTTCAGCATGAACTACGATATCATCCTGATACGATTCAGCACCATCAAAACCGGTGATAATCCAATTTATAACCTTCTGGATTACTTCAAGGGAAACACTTAATCTGAATGGTAGGGATTGGTATCTGAAAATCCAGAATGATGTATTAATAGTAGTTAGTTCACTAGAGATTTCATCTAATGGGATTCGCAAATACACATCATTTAAACCTATTTCATAAAATTACCGTGACTCTCATAGTTTATGTATCCTTATGTCGAACTGTAATCACATGTTCCGAGGGTTTACTACCCGCCTTAAGTGGAGTTACAATGAAGGTAGCCCAACTTGAGGGCCCAGTCGGGATTATTATCCATTTTCCACCCAGCTTAATTTCACAGTCTAACTTGAGCCATATGGAATTAACCTACTCTTCAAAAACAGGCACGCCCTATACTTCTAAATGCACTGGTTGGATATCAATGTATTGAGACCTTTGAGACCGTACGGTAGTCTAATCACTCAACTACACCAATTGCAGCTAGCGTGGTAGTTATTTGTGGATTTGTAATTTGATTGGGTGCATCTTGCCTTAGGGAGGTAGGATCTTGGATACTAGCGGAGGTTGACTGAATGTAAGGTGAAAATAACGACGTGATAATTCGAGTGTTAAGACACCAAATGTTTGTCTACATGAATACCAATAGGTTGTCAAACCCCATGATACATTTTTGACCACATCAATGTATAGATGAAAATCCGACAGAGGTAATTTTCGGATTTCGGATATAGATAACACTAAGATCAGAGAAATTTGAAAGACTTGGTACCCAGGTCAATCAGCAGTTAACAAACACAACGAAATCGACAAAATTTACCAATCACTTGGGAAAACCATGAACAAACATAGAATGACAGGATAAAGACCAACATTAAACAATCAAGTTCGACAGGATAGACCGTCATATACATATCAGTGAACGTCAAATCAACTCATCTGTTATACTTTCGTGCGCCGCTAAGTTTACAATGCGTGTAGAGTTTATTATTCACGTTTAGGAAAGCATTACTAACCCCACTACTCAGTCCATCAGTTCTGTAGAGCAAAAAGTTTAGCTATTCACTTTAAAGCATTTTCGATTCAAACAATCAAGTTTCATTCATTGCACACATAATGCAACTGATATGAAAATCACTAACTTACACGTTAAAACATGAATGACATTTATTAGGTTCGATGATTAACAGAAGCATTTGATAAATCAAATCAATGTTAATGTCATAAATGATAGAAATGTAGGTAGTTTGATGAGAATAAGATCGTAAATGTAGTTCATTTCTTACGTTGGCCACCACCAGATAATATTACTGCTATGCGAACAAATATGTTTACAGCATCCAATAAAATTCGAATGGAACTGAAGTAAAGAAAAGAATCAAGATTCACTATTAACTACTTTGAATATTTCAAATTAGTAAAATAATCATCAACATAGCAGTGTAGCCAAACAAATATAAGTTCTTAACTATCAATAAGGTTTGTGAAAATATAGTAAACTTTTAGGTCCAATATTAGGTAGTTTTTTTATCAATAAATTCGATAGACAAAACACAAAAAATGAATTTTTGTATAAGTTAACATATTGAAAAATTTAATACCTATCATTTAAGCTTATTGAGAAAGTTATAAAATGCATGTAATATAACAATTAATACTTAATTATGATAAAATGGAAGTAAAAATAAATTTTTCTTTATGTCGACTCATATGTGAAATGTATTGTTAAGTTTAACAGCACTTTCTGTATGTCAATCTGAAATTAGTGTAGTACGAGTTCAAAACAATGTTTGCCTTAAACCTAACGACTTTTGGATTATGAACTTAGATATAGGACTATAGAACCGGAAGAGAATTTACTGAAAACAATATTCTCTTTTTATATGTTTTTTTTTTAAATATATATATTCTCTCCCTTTCCAAATAAATTATCCTACTTACCAATATTTAGTAACCGGTATCCATTCTAATGACATTTGAGAGTATTAAGTGTCATGTTTACCAGTTAATGTAATTGCATTTTTTTAATACATACAACCGTTACTTTCGATCTCAATGCATTCCTCAACAATAGAAACAGTTCACAGTTTAATGATAACATTGCATAGTAATACACTGGCGGGTAGAGTTCAATTATTACAAAATCACTAACTTGTTGATCGGGTCAAATGGTCTTAATGCTCCTGGATTCTGAAATCCTTTGTTAGTTGGTAAAATTGGTGAATAGAAATTCGGAGGTGGATGAGATTCTGCCCGTCTTATCACATGTTGTGTATCATAAAGTAGGAATCCAGAAAACAGAAGAAGGCCGCCGTAAAGACTGATGGACGCTAAACCAGATCCCAAACGACTTACAGGAGATAAAAACATGGAACCTTAGAGAAGAAAACATGAGGTTAGATTATGTTTGCTTACAACTTAAATCAAAGATAATAGTTGTACTTTTGGTTAACATTAAAGCTCTTGTGACAATTTGATAAAATAGATTTTAAATGCTTTGAACATACTGTCAATTAATTTAATTTAAATAGTTACCGAAAACCCATTTTAGTCACATTGTTATTCACACATTTACCGTTCGAGAAGTCTAGTTTTTCGTACTCAATGATGCGTTAAGACGCTAGAATTTATTCATTAAAGTCCATTTTTATGACATTATTAGATCAGTATTATTCATTGTTATAAATCATTTCAAGGTTTGATTTAGAAGAATTAAAATCATCAAAAGAAGTTAAATAACTACATTTTAGGATCTCTCACATCAACAATTTATTGATTTTTGGGTGCCTAGTGTTTACATGTCTGACGACATTTTTGTTGATTGTTCGAGTACTCTTTATCAAAATGGTTGGATTTAGATCAATAAGGATGAATGATGCTTTTTCCAAGATTTCAATGAGGAAATATGCTAGTGTCATAAATTGTACTTGGTTAGGCCAAATGAACTTTCAAATCTTTGATGCCCATACGAGTCAATCGGCTGATGCAAACTCTGACCGACACTTAGTAACGGCTGTTGATAGAACGAACAAAAAATGGAGTAAAAAACACCATAAACACCACAAGAAGCGATCAACAACGACCATATATATATATATATATATATATATATATATATATATATATATATATATATATATATATATATCGAACGGACGTCCTGAAGAAGAACTTTAATCTCAAACAAAATGAACATTGCAACTTCCGTTTCCAAACAATCCAGGGTATATTAACCCACCAGGATAAAGAGAAAACCAGAGGAAAACACAAACTAAGAAAAGAGGTTTGACGAACCAACAGAGCTTAACCGAAACAACTCCATCTGATAGAGAAACGACGTCAACAAACTTAGAGACAAAGTACAAACAAAACTAACAAATATAGGACAAATCTTCACAAGAAATGAACACCGCTAAACATACAAACGTCTGAACGCTATATTCGCGATAACAAACGACAAAAGTTCATGCGACACAGAACCAACTATACAAATCAGCAAAAAGGCACTGACAGACCACTATAAAGAAATATTCAGCTACAAATCCATAGTATAATTGACAAACACACACATGGAAACAAACCACCAAAACGATAGCCCCACCAGCCTACATGAACTAGAGCAAACAATTAAATGATTGAAAAATGATAGAGCCTTCGGGAACATCACAAACAAAATGGTAAAATATAGAGGAAACAAACCAACAAAACATCCTCTTAGGAATAATGAACCAATACTGGAACAACACAAACAAAACCTCATGCCTCTGGATTGATGGCAGACATTATCAGCATCTACGAACATAAACATATGAAAACAAACTCAAAAAATTACCGGACATATTCTTACCGGATATTCTTGGCAAAATCTTTGGGTGAATAAATATGCCCACGACTCACCACACAAAACACGCCCGCCCCTAAAACGCTGACCAAACTTTAGAACTAAATAAAAGCCTTGGGAATAGCAATCTCAACCAATAAAACAAAGACGATGACCGTAAATAAACAATACAACAACCAGCCAATTAGTTTTGCCAACACAGTTATTAAATTAACGTCCTTTAACCATCTGCAATCCATAATCCAACTAGACGGACTGCCTGAACATGCAGTTGACCAAAAGGCTACCAAAGCTCGTTACGCAACAATAGATATCCAACTACTCAACAGTGGAGGAACTAAACGGCAACATTAGTCTCTGAAACATGACCACAAAAGTTAAGCAAAACCGACTAAACATATGGTGCACACATTACAAAAGACCTGACAATTTGAAGATCACAATTATCGAAAGCACCATAACAAATAAAAACACCTCGCAAAATGTTGGCTAGGACAAATAAAACTCTACTTAAAGGCGCTCAAAGAATTACCAATGACTTGGGCAGAGCACCCAACTAAGATAAAACTAAATAATGACAGAGAGTACAAACCGAAGATAATTTGCCAAGGAACGCAAATATACGTGTGCACAAACAAACTAAAGTCGAATGTACACAACAATAAAAGGAATGAACAGATACTTAAAGAACAACCACCCAATAACTTAGACTTTCACAGACACAGAAGTACAAAAGTACCCGATGGCAGACTACTCAAAAACATACAAAACAATGGGATGGCTAAATAGTCACATTTGATTATGTCACCTACAACCTTATCAACCCATAACAACAAATATAAAAACCTTAAAAATCACTAAATCAATAACCACACTACCAACACAACCGAAAGGTCGAAAAACCATCAGCCTACATAGATGACTATACACGGGTTGCACAAAAATTTGGCCGACAAAGTAAAGGTATAATAAACCATTGTGATCTGATACACAAATAATGCTCGACAATAACTGACAAGTATGACCAAGGAAAACTCAAACAGCTATTGCACCCTGGTAGTTGTGCCGTGTTTCAGGGAGCGTCTTTAAAAAAGCCAATAGGCTTCACCAACCTTATACCTGGAAGGGGTACTTGGTTTATTTATTTATTTATGGCAAATACGTTACTAATCGATATAAAAAAACATGAATCAGAATTCCATAATGTTAATTAACCTACCGATAGATGACACAAAAACAACTCCTAAGCCAATCGCCAAAGGACCACCCCAGTTGATGAAACGGTCTGATGGTGCTGTCAATGCAACCAATGACAAGGAACCAACTATACCTCCAGTATACAAAGCAGCCTGAATAAGAATGGGTCCGCCAACTAAGCATATAGGCATCAGGATACCGCCTAAACTCACAGAATATGCCACCCATGCTAAATGCTTTACACTTAGACCCGATTGTGGATATGTAAGTGACTAGAAAAAGAACATACAAGTGAATTCAGACAAAAATATGAAAAAATATTGTGTTGGAAAAATCTTTCAATTAAAAAGCGTGAAACATTTTTTAAAAGCATTCAATAAAACGAAAGGTCCAAAAGTTAACTGATTCTAGTTGATTTATGAAACTGATCAAAAGAGACTGGTACACTTACTATCAACCAAGCAGATAGTAAACATTACGATGTAGATTTAAACCAATGATAGTAAATTAATTAGCTCAAGTAAATATAAATTATGTTGTACGTGAAAACGATGAAATGTTTTGATAAGCATCGAAATAAATCTCAAACATATACAATGGTTAACTGAGGTTTCATACAGAAACCAGCCGGGGAATTTATCCCGATACAAAAAATTGACTTATAATTAAAATTAATCGTATAAAAGGCAACACCTAAGTTACTAGATCCACTAACTCTGACACATCAAATGACGTTAAAAATGGAGAAAATCACATATACTACAGATTAAGACACGAGTTCAATAGTTTAGAAGATACCAAGAAAACTAACTGAACTCCCAATCTGATTGAATCCAAAGAAATATTATGCGCTATTATCATCGACAAAATACATGTTATTCACCACCATCAAATAAAAAATCAACACTACATGAGATATAATCATCATATTATGCAACGCTTCAAGTCGCCATACCACATTAGCACAAGATTAAATAATTTAAAGACGAATCCCAGAATGGTTAAAGTAGTAGTCCTTGTTGTTGTAAAAGCCTTTCAAAACGCACTGCCGCGTTCGCACTTTGGTGCAAAATGAATAAAAGCCATGTACACCCAGGACTACATAGTTACTTCATCCATGTTTAATTTGTATAAGAAAGTCCATATTACCAGTTCCAGAGACAAATTACGAAATCATCTCTTACAAATTGGTTTAAAAACCTATTTATGTTATGCATAAATAAAGTGATGACTTTTTCATGATGAAAACTGTTCTTAAATGACAATCCAAGTGAGGAATTCACCGAGGGAACGACTCCAAATATAGTGTATGACTAAAAGATATTAAGAATGATCAGAATGAAGCGTAGTTCTTTTACATTCATTAGTCAAGAAGCATAAAGTTTGCCCAAGAATCTTCCTTTAGCGGTGTTATATCTACGACTTGAATCTTCCAAGTCGCAAGTGAGGAGGAATGTTATTCCAAACAGTATCAAATATGGTACAAAACTCTCGGGTATTTATAGTTTTTGGCAAAAAAACAGAATCATTATTACAGTCATCCAATCTGAATGCAGTGGCTTTTAGAATTTGTCCAATCTGGTAGATACACGTCGATATTCTGGAATGTCCTTCTAAACGATGATTACATGGAATGTCTTCGGCTATTTCAGGGTTTATTTAAGTTCACCGAGAGTTGCGCCCACACCTCTCCTCTCTAACGTCTCTTGTGTAAAACTTTTTGCTCGGGTCCAATTCAAACTTGGTCACTGCATTCCTCTTGAAGGTTGTACTGTTTTAACCTGCTTCGGTCTGGGCACCCGGGCAGTATCACAGCCCACACGCAAACATGGTGAAATGTTGATATTTATTGAAGATAATTTTCTTGCTTCAATTAACCAATCAAACGATTCATATTATTATTATTATTATTATTATTATTATTATTATTAATATTATTATTATTATTTACCACGTCATTTAATCACTCCCTTTTATTCCCACTTTGTCCATCCTTATTTTTCGAATTATACAGCAGTTCGCCTATGGTGAAAATTCAGCTTTATCTAAACGTTCTCGAGTCACTGCCTGGTTGAAAATTGTATGTTAGCACCGAATATGAGTACTGAAGCAGTTTTTCTGAAACCACGTGCACCATTCAAACTGGCTGCCTTCAACGTTCGCACACTTATGCAGGTCGGACAACAGATAGGGCTGGCTATGTCTTTGGAAAGTCTTCATATTGATGTGTGTTGTCTATCCGAGACCCGTATTCAAGACTCTGGTGAAGTACTACAAGTTCGCTCTCCATCTGTCGCTTCAAAGAGCTTGTTTTATGTGCGTTTATCCGGGGACCCTGTGGCATCTTCGTCTAGTCTTGCTGGCGTTGGTGTCGCACTAAGCGCAAGAGCTGAGGCAGCACTAGTCGACTGGATCCCCATTAACAGTCAGTTATGTGCTGTTAGATTAGAAAGTTCCATCAAAGTGAGAAGAAATCGGCGTGAGAAACGATGTCTTCGTCATCTCCGCCTATGCTCCGACAGATTGCAGCCCGGATGCAATCAAGGACGAGTTCTACCATCAGCTAACTGTTCTTCTCCAGAAAGTGCGTTCGACAGATATTGTAGTACTAGCTGGAGACTTGAATGCTCAGGTCGGGCGTCTAGGCACAGAAGAGTCGTTTAGGTGGCCGATGGGGACTCGTTGGTCGCAGGACATAACGGGGAACGTCTACTGCAACTATGCACAGACCACAACCTGTTTCTGGCTAGCACTAACTTTCGGCACAGTCATCGCCAATGTGCCACCTGGCGTCCCCCTTCTGCATCTCAAGCCTGGACTCAGATTGATCACATCGCGATCAGCTACCGCTGGCGTGGTTGTATACAAGACTGCCGCTCCTTTTGGAGTACCTATCTGGACTCTGATCATGCTCTGGTCTGCGCCAAACTTACCTTACTTTTCAGTGGCCAACAAAGTGACCGCCACCAAAAAATTGATGTCAGCAAGTTGGTTGCAACTTCTGTTGCTAGTAAGTATCGAACCGAGCTAGCTTCTAGGCTAGCTACCATTTCACCGAAAAGTATAGATGAGCACTGGTTGCAACTACATGACGCCATCAAAATGGCGAGTAAAGCCGTTCGCGGCTTCGCGAAACCTACCGCTTATAAGCACTGGGTTTCTTCTGGTTCCTTACAACTCATTGAAGCCCATCGGTCTATTCCGGGTGACCGAGGGTTTGACCACAAACGAAGGATGTTCCGTAATGAAATTGGACAAAGCTTGCGTAAGGACCGAGAAGCCTGATGGTCGGAGCGTGCTAATGAGCCGGTGACCAGTGATTGGTTCACACGCCATTTGTTTCTTCAAGATCCTGAAGTCCATGTGCACCAATGGTTTGGAATCAGGGATTTTCAACCCCCTAGGTGAACATCTCGTGTCCACCAACCCGGTTAAAGCGCCGGACATTCGCTTTTCGTCCTCTCAATTTCGTAAACATTACTCGTGGTGCGAGAAGGTAGTGAGTAGGACTTCCCTGGCAGAGGGTGTGTACGCGTGACCATGTGAGAGCATTTCGAGAGGGAGAGCTGACTCTTCAATTTTAACCGCAACAGAGCACTTGGGGGCTTAATAGATTAGTGGATATACTCTAAGGGATTTCATACCAAGTTCAATGAGTAACGTTAGTGAGACCCAACAACCAAGTACACGTGAGCGAAACAATCTGTGACGATGGGATGCCAGTCATTAACATCTATCGACGTCTTAGACGGGAAGTCCAACTGGTTTGCTGCCCCATCGACATTAATCAGACTGTACTGCCCTCCATCGTCTGTGACTACTGATTTACCTAATGGGGCGGAAGTCCGCAAGGAACTCTAGCTATTGAAGCACCGTAAATCACCAGACCAAAACGACTTATCTCTGGCCCATCTTAAAGATGGTGGCGACCTTCTGGTTAAGAAACTGACTGAGTTGTTTACAAAGGTCTGACAATTGGAGTTTCCCAACGTCGATGGGTGATTCGACAATTGTTCCTATACTCTAAAAGGGTTCACGTCGTCTCCGCAACAACTATCTGGGGACAAGTCTACTTCCGATTGCGTCCAAGCTGTTGGCTTCCATCATACTTCGTAGGTTGTTCAAAACCCGAGAAAGATCAACTCGCGAGGAGTAGGCTGGTTTTCGTTCTGATCGAGGATATAGTAATCATATCTTCACCCTCCGCCAAGTGTTAGAACACCGCCATACTTATCAAAGGCCAACAATCGTAGTGTTTCTTGATATCAGGGCTGCCTTCGATTCGTTGGACAGAACTGTTCTCTGGGATTGTCTATTGAAGAAGGGTGTGCCTGAGAAGTTTATTAACATCCTAAAAGCCCTATACACAAACACCTCAGGCAGAGTGAGGGCATACAACCACCTTTCTCCACTATTCCATTCGAGCAGTGGGGTTAGGCAGGGTTGCCCAATCTCACCATTCCTCTTCAACTTTGCCATCGATGACATTCTGGAAACAGCTCTGACGGATGTAAGTAATGGTGGTGTGGATCTGTTGCCTGGAGAAAGACTTCTCGACCTTGAGTATGCGGATGATATTGTCTTACTGTGCGAGAATGCCCAAGTCATGCAATCCGCACTTAATCAGTTGGCAATCAGTGTCCGTAGGTATGGTATGTGCTTTGCACCTTCGAAGTGCAAAGTTCTTCTACAAGACTGGCAGGATTCTAATCCTGTACTCACTCTGGATGGTGAGCAGATAGAAGTAGTCGAGAAGTTCGTGTATCTAGGTAGCTGCATAAGTGCTGGTGGTGGTGTGAGTGATGAGATCAATGCACGTATAGTGAAAGCCAGAGAGGCTTATGCCAATCTGGGCCATCTTTGGCGCCTTCGTGATGTTAGTCTGGCTGTAAAAGGTCGGATCAACAACGCATCGGTGAGAGCAGTTCTGCTCTATGCTTGTGAAATCTGGCCTCTCCGAGTTGAGGATGTTAGACGACTCTCTGTGTTCGATCATCGCTGTCTCCGAAGTATTGTGACATCTAGTGGCAATACCATATTAGTAAGGCACAGGTTCGGTATCGTGTGTTCGGGCACAGAGACGATAATCCAATTGGTGTCACCATCTTGAAACACCGACTTCGGTGGCTCGGACATGTTCTACGAATGTGGTCCCAGAGAATTCCACGTCGTGCATTATTTGCCGACTCTGGGACTGGTTGAAAATAGCGAAGAGGTGGTCAGTGTATGACATGGTGTCGTGGTATGAAAGCTGCAAAGGCTGGCTTGTGTTGGTCCTTCACGACTCCCTGTCTGGAGTCCGATAGATGGTGTAACACAGTGGCTAGAGACGTTATCAGATATGGCTCAGAATAGAAGCCAGTGGCGATCCTGTTGTAACCTTCTTTTACTTTCTTCGTAAAGAGTGGTTGCTTCTTCGTTAACCGAAAGATTTCTGATTCTAACTTTTCGTCTCCCCCATTATTATTATTACTACACTACCTTACACTAATCTGTTCGTTATTGTTCTTTTTTTCTCTTCAAATTTTCAGTGTTTTGTGTGGTGCATATATATTTGGTGCCCTCTTGTACCAATATTTATGTGTTCAAATAAATAAATAAGTAAATAGGGCATTTTTTTAAAGTGAATTCACAAGCATTTAAAAAAGAACTGGCGTTGTGTAATCTTTGTTCTACCATCCCTTCGAATCTGATTGACATGTCTTATACAAGACCTGACAGTTATCCAAACTAAGTACAATATTTTTCCAACCCAACGTTTAATAATATCTGGTTCACATTTTCAATCACTTTGATAAAGATCACTTTTGCTGGAATACCTCATCAAAAGCCCGTTTTTTCGTACCCATGGATCTTCATGCTTGGCTACTTAACTGGGGATGGTACGGAGGAGAACGTAGACGCGTAATGCCATTTTTACGGCAGAATCGTATGAAAGTGGATGACATGAACTGAGTGCCACTGTCAGTTACTAAGATCTCCAGAACCCCCAAACAAGCAAGTAATCTTGACAAGCTTCTTATTATATCCTCTGACTTCATGTTCGGCATATCGTATACTCTCGACCACTTCGCGAAAGCCACCACAACAACTAAGAAAATGCTGCCTTGTATTGTATCAGTGAAATCAGCATGTAATGTTTGCCAAGGCTCCAGTGGAGTCCAATCCGTATCGGGTAGAGAGAGATATCTGCCTCAGACAATGGATGAATGGTTGCACAATATCATGGATTGATTGAAGTTAAAAATTAACACCGTTAGATGCCAGCTCAGTGATCTCGATGGTAAGCGTTCGTGAATGAGACAGAAGGTTCTGGGTTCGAGTTTCGCGCGCGGAATCGTGGATGCGCACTAGGACGAAACGACCGTCCAGTGCTTCCAAGTTATCAATGATGGTCTAGCTTACATTGACTTAAGAATTCAACTATTAAAATTACAATCTCCACAAAACCCTCATTCTGATCATAATAAAAATTATTACAAACTTCTTGATAGTGATTTTTTTATTATTTATTTTAACACATAGATATTGGTACAAGGAGGCACCAAATACATATACGCCACACGAATCTCAATTAATTTGTGTGAGGGCTGTGATACTGCCCGGGTGTCCAAACCGAAGCACGTGGTTTTTTTAGTAGGCCACACCCCGGGCCTTCGACCTGATGATCTGATCCACAAGGTAGTGGAGCATCGTAAGGAGATGCGATCCCATGGTAGTCGGTGACCAACGATTGGTTCATACGCCATTTGTTCCTTCAGAATACTGAAGCCCATGTGCACCATTGGTTTGGGATCCGGTTAAAGCGCCGGACATTCGCTTTTAGTCATCTCATTTTCGTAAACAACACCCCTGCTGCGAGAAGGCAGTGAGTAGGACTTCCCTAGCAGAGGCTATATACGCGTGGCCGTGTGAGAGCATTTCGAGAGGGAGAGTGGACTCTCTCCACTCTCGTCCATACCAGGGCATTTGCGGGCAAAAACCGACTTCCCAACCGTGAATCAAACCCGGGCTCTCCACGTGACAGGCGGAGATACTCACCACTATACAATCGAGGAGCACTCTTGATAGTGAAACGACCTTTTATTCTAATACCGTTTAAACCGACAGAAGTGGTCCCTGTTATAAACCAGTTCATCTATCGGATAATGTGTCACTCCTAAAATCATTTATGACAAAGCGAAGTAAAAATAAGGACTAGACAATCCGAGCACATTTTCCTTAACTGCATATAGTTAAATGTAAGAGTCCGTTGGAATTTCGTTAACAGCAAATATTCTGAACACTATGCAAACTAATAGGTCATATAATTAGACGCCGACTGCATCATCTTAAACAGATTTGTTCACTTCACTTACTCTCGTCCAAGAGGTTGAATATCATTGTGAAGTAATTTAAATCAAAGTGGGTTTTGAAATCATAATGTAGTATATTAGAGGATTAAACTACTGACTCATCAATCGTTCAGTTCGTTATAGTACTTGGTGTAACAGCATGTACGACTAGAATTCCAACGGCAAACGGATATTTTAAGGTATGAGGAAGCTTGAACCTAAACACTAGTGATACTTAAGACAAGTAATTTTATCTATAACAAACCAAAACACTAAAATATTAGTTCACTAGACAATCTGGAAGAGCTTAAGTCTTTTCTTTATTGCAATCTTAACGCGTGAAATCAAGCACAACTCAGTAAGTGCTTGTAACTGAGTGGAATTACTGGTATTAACAGAAAACGAACAAGACGAGCAGTAAAAACAATACCGTCGGTAGTAGCAAACCATATACGAGTATGGAATGATACTAAGCTAAAATTTTACAGGAAAATGATGAATAAATGCATTTGAACTAACAACTATTTCGTGCCTTATCACTCAAGGATATCACTTAAATATTACGATTTTCTGGTGAACCCTAACCAAAGATTACACCTTTCGACGTAGCACGAACAAACAGCCTGTGGCTAAATATACTGATGTCCATATACAAAAACTACTGAACAGAAGTTTCACTTCAACCTTAGAAGCATTGTAGAAATACTTACTCCGTCAATGGATAGATGATCATGAATTAGATTGTGTATGTTTGAAATCAGTAAATTATTTAGTGGATACACACTATGGTAGGTTACTCAACAAACTTATCAAAAAGATGATTACCTGACAAATAACTCCTGTAGCTATACTCAATACCGCCATTCCAATAGGAGCAAGCCATCCACCACTTAGCATCAAACGACACATAGTAGGAGACTGAAACAATGCGATAGTTGAACCAGCTGCAATTGTGGCACTGGCTAGTAGATAGCCATACGTTGCTCGAATACGCTGTTTTACGTAATCAGGCCAAGCAACTGAACGATCAAAAGCTGAGAGTGAACCATCTTTGCCAGCTAAACCATAAAGACAAAGACCACCAATACTAATTGCAGCTGCAGCACCCACTAAAGCTCGAGTTTTACTGAAATCTGAAAAAATAAAAACCACGAACTTGAAGTTTACAGAAATATACGAGGAAATAACGAACAACATTTACACTACGGCGATTTTTGTAATTTTTTATATTAAAATATTTTCATCCCGTTTTGTCCAATAAATTGAACAGTTTCAAAAAGGAAGTTACTAGCTGTTATTTTTTGTAAAGTAATAATAAAAATATTCGCCTTTTCTCCAAACTGCGATTATTAATAATTCACCTGGCATTAGCTACATGATCTGCTATTCCTGGAAATATATGAATTAACATTAATTTGAAATGATCTGCTATAAAAATTGACTGAGAATACTGTCATACTAATGGTGACCAATAAATCCGAAGAACATATAGTAAAGACATAAAGGTTGACATTCTAAAATGTTAGACATGCGTAGGGGTAAAAAATGTTGGTAAGGGCAAACTTAAACTTCGGGATGAGACATTGTGTGGCATATACCAGTGTACATACACATATATCGTGTTGCTTCAACAAAATGCTGAAAATGTTAGAATATCAAACTTTATTTAATTTTTTACTAGGGTAAATTTACAGCAGTAACTACAGATGAACACGCAAAGGTTATACAAATGGAATGATGACAGCATCAGAAATCGTACCGCGCAGACGTAAAATCAATTTGCTTATTTACTTAAACCACAGAAATATCGGTACCAATGGACACCAAAATGAATTATGTGTCACACAATAAGATCATTATATTATGGAGAGATGGGTGAAATGGAACATAATCAAAATAATTTAGCGAATCAGAAAAAAATAACCGAACGAGAGACGAATCAGTTCTAAAAATATTCCTTACTTTTATGAAGAATGTAAAATGAAACTACAGTACGACTGCCACTGTCTTTTATTCTGATTCGTATCAGAAATCTTAAGTCACTGAGTTGTACCACCCCACTAACACGCCACTGGCTAGGATGAGTTAAATCAGCTCCCAGCAATTATCAGACATAACTACTGTTTTCAACTCGTAAGCACGCTCCAACCACCAGGTTTTTTCAATTATTACGAAAGCTTTGCATAATCTCCTTAATTTTGAATCTGCCCTTAACACCAAACACGCCGTTTATCGGAACGAAACGACATGATTCGAAAAATTGTAACGAGATTATAGAAAACTGGGTGCCCATAAGGTGGGACGTTTCGCAAAACCGCAAGAGATGCAGCCAACCATTTTCATGGTGTCATACAAACACAGTCAATGCTCGTCTACACTTTTGAATTACAAGTTTGCGTACTGAATGTAACACTTGATATTCGTAATTACTGTGTAGTTGTAGTTATGTCCCCTGAGTTATACCTCATGATATCCTAAGCTATCCTGAGTTTCATTGCTCTATGAAGAAAAATGAGATAGATTTGTAGGTGTTAACATACATACTCATCCTTTTGAGCCGCTAGAAGAACTTGCTTACAGTGTATCTGGAAATACAGAATAACTTTACCAATTGATAAACGACCTACAGAGTGCTTAAATATAGAACTACATTATCTCTACATTACTTGTATGGTATTGAAACTGAATGCAAGCAACCCGATGGAGAGGAATGATGGAACACGATGATTAAAAATCCTAGTCTCCCTTAATTCATATAATTATAGCAAACGGATACCTGAAAATCAGTAAATCCTCAAAGGTTTATTCGTGCTAACTTGCGATTAAATAGTAGATTATCGGAATACTTAGTATGCATGAAAACTGATTAATAGATCTCACATTGATCATAAGGTGGGACCTATCCAAAACTTTGCGAGTCTTGTCACCAACATAAATTACTTAGTTAGAACTAAAAATGGAAAAACTGGTTTCGAGTTTAGTTTTTATATTTAAGCACACTATATAAGGATTTTGCTTATCTTGAATGCACGAATCGGCAAGCTAGTCTATAGTTTGTCAAATGCATGAAGTAATCATATACGAGAACGATTCATGAACATTTTTAAATCCTGAAGCTCATGGTGCATTCTTTGCTAGATAAGAAAGGATTTACACATTCGCTTACACACCAGCCGTTTACAAGGCGAAGAGCAGTGGTTACCAAAAATTTCAGCCTGAAACTATTGCCAGCGTATTCGTAGATATGAATCACTAGCCGAAATTTCTCGTACACACTGACGGTCAATTGTGAACGCCAATCCAAATGTGGACGTTTCCATTGACTGGCAAGAATTTTAAAGCACCAGAGCTGATGATCATTCCAGGATGCAGGTATATCCGGCTGACGAATCTCGATTAGGACGAAACGCGCATCCTGAACTCCATTGCTAGCCACCGTCCGTCCATCAACCGTCCTTCACATCCTTTATGATTCATCCAATTCTTTTTTATCCCAATCCCTTTCTGTTTGACTTTCGAATGTTTTCAGTTCACTCTGCTCAATCCTCTTTCGACAGCTATTCCAATGCTGATTGGCATAACATATTACTTATATTTGCCAACATAAGTAGAATACACCACACTAGTACCCTGTTCCTTACCCAGGTATTTCTTACTCCGCGGTCCCAAAGTACACAAGCAGTGCTTCGAAGACATCTATAATTGAATACTAGTAACCCACGAATATCTTTTGTTCTTAGTAGGCATGTTACCCATAAAGCAGAACTGAACGAACTGATGCACAGTAAACTCGTTCTTCAGTTGGTAGAAGAATATCTCGCCATTATTAGACAGAATTATATCAACAGATAAATCTCCTAGTAGAAGATCGACCCTCGAAAAGTCAGACGATAAAAGTGTTATCTTTAAAAGGATGTCTATGACAAGGTTACATAAAAATGGGGAAAGCGGATAGCGATAGCCCTGACAAACATCACGTCAAGTAACCAGTTCCGATGAAAGTTCGCCATAAGCTCTGAATCAAACTGTAATGTTCAAGTAGTGAGTCCATTTAATGTTAGCATACTTTATTGGTAAGCCTTTTAATGACAGACATTGCCATGAAAATTGTCGATCAATGGAGTCGAATACTGACTGAAGGTCAATCAATAAAACTGTAGTTAGACGTAGAAAAGTATGTCTATGTTCCAGAACCTCCTGAAGAGTGGATCTTTGGTCCGACATCAATTCAGAATTTAGGTTGCTTGTAGAGAAAGGGTAACTAAAGTGTGGCTGAAGACCAACTGAACTGTTCCCTAAAGTGTTCTGTCCACCAGTTCAATCTCCTAGATTGAAGGTGAATAATAGTCCCGTCTTTTCCCAAGATAGTTTCACTAATTCCCGAACTCTTAAGGCCTGTTTCCTTGATAAGTATGAAGAGTTGTCTAGTGTCATCCGAAAAGGAAGCTGGATTACTAATGGTTTTAGTGAACTGAGAGAGTGATTGAAGATACTTATTACTCACAGCCTTCATGTGGGGAGTTTTTAGTGTTAGCGCCACACTCTAGTAAGCCTTACTTTTGGAGACAGGAATCCATGGGATAAGGTGGGGTGTGACTGACTGACTGACTGACAATCTTGGGGTCAACCTTTCTTAATCCTTTCCTTTGTTGTGAGAAAGCAGAATCACTGAAGATGCTATCCGTCCGAAGGAAACACCTTACTGCTGTTGCAACCCTCTACAGTCAGCAGTAAGACTTCGCCCTCAAACCTTAAGTTGCTGTTTTTAGTCTTACCGTTTTTTAACCGACCTGCCCGGCATGATAGAACCTAAAGGAACATGTGTTTCATGAAATATAGCTGGGTTGAATCATCACGAAAAGTAACCCCGATCACTACATCAAAATGAAAATACACAGCTGTCTAAACAGAAACAGGTGAAGGAGTTTGAATCTACGATCTGGTTGAAATTAGAACAACTCAACAAAACCACCGCTCAGAAATAATAAGCAGAAAACTAACCGTTGCCATGTGTTTGAAAATCTCGACTTTTTGGTTGATTTATTCACTATCAAAGCGTTTGCTGAGAGAATGAGCAAAACGAAATCTCCATCAGTTGGACAGAGGTTATCATCACTGAGTTTCATCATAAACAAATGTTAGATCTCTATTATTATTCATGAAAGCATCACTTAATAAATATCGAATGAAAATGGCCGTAACATAGAGAGCGAATTTCATTTGACACTCGACAGTTAGATTAGGTTACATAAAGTAGACAAAAAGTACCTGCGTGAAGGCTTATAGATTCAGACGCTAGTTAGTTATATAACTTACTGAGGGAATGTCCAAACTCCGTAGCTCCTGATTTTAGATTGATACGCCCCACACGCCTACGTATAGAACTATTAACTACTGGAAATGTGCGAAACAATCGGATAGAATGATTTGATATAGACGGTTTAACGAAAGGTGTTGAGCGGTGTAGTTGGTTAGCCAGTTTCGAGACATGATGGCTACGACACAAGAATGTTGCAGTGGCCAGCATTGTGCTGCAAAAGAGAGGAAAACGAAGCCAGATAAAATTTAAGTTATGCAGATGAAAGTATTACAACATTCAGCTCGAATGCTTCTTTACACTCGTATTGTACAGGTGCTCAATACATATCATTATCTTCAGAAATGTGAAGTCAAAGCAAACGGATCCATCAAAATGATATCTCATGGTACTGATAACAACTTTGACGCAAAAATTAGGCTTGTCAAAAACAATAATAACCAGTTACTATATCTAATATTACCCGTATCTCTTCAATCATTTTGATGTATGGAGTAAATTTAGTTTCATTCATTTTTTTCTAAAAAAAATATAATGCTAAGCATGAATTTTACAGATAGAATTAGGTAGATCATAAAAATTGCAGGACTATGGTTGCCCTGGTGCGGCCGAGGGTGGGGAGTCAGCTATCCCTCACGAAATGCCCTCATACAATCACTACCAGGGAAGTCCTACTCACTGCCTTCTCGTGACACTGCTGTTGTTTGCGAAATTGACAGGACGTAAAACAAATGTCCGGAGCTTTAACCGGGTTGGAGGATAATGAAGATCCAACTAGGGGAGTTGGAAAACCCTGATTCCAAACCAATGGTGAACATGGGCTTCACGATCCTGAGGGAACAAATGGCGTATGAACCAGTTACTGGTCACTTACTACCATGGGACTGCATCTCCTGACGTTGCTCCACCGCCTTGTGGATCAGACCTTTAGGTCGAAGGCTCGGAGTTTGGCCCCCTATGAAAACCATCTGCTTCCGTTTCAGCAACCGGGCAGTATCCCAACCCTCACATAAATCGAATGATTTATGTGGCGCATATCTGTTTGGTGCCTCCTTGTACTAATGTTTATGTATTTAAATAAATAATGGATTTCAAATATAACTGTTTTGAACGTTTAGCTTTTAGTTCACCAACGAGTCTCTTTGTGATATCTTAATCATAGAAATCAGTGGCCCTGAGATGGTGAACATTTCTGGCTCAGGTGGATGATTTTGGTGGAGCTTCGTTAACTGAGCCGCATAGTATGGCAGTCAAGCCTTCGTTGTTCTTCTGAACAAAATGATTATTGTTGGTCAATAATAACCAATCAAGATCGAGATTGACAGGACAAACTGCTAGTCATATATGCAGAAATTCGAATACTTCACTTCTACCTGAATTTTATGCTGGTATTTAGAAGAACGATGAAAGTTTCACACCAAACCATTCGGCTCAGATAACAAAACTCCACCAACTTAGTGGCTTGAAACTTAGCCAGAAATAACTCATAATAGAAGCTAGTAGCATTCTTACTGTAGCATATTAATATATTCTTAATGAAAGAACGGTAAATTTCTTAACTGGTAGAGATTTCTTTTCGTTGTTCTTGAGAAGACTATATTTTGTTACAATAAATACCATTCTTACTTATTTATCTATTATGTGACTCTTTCTTCACATGTGTTTGCAGTATAATCATTCCCGTCTATGTGGCGTACTTTCTAGACCTCTTTTTACCAAAATTTATATGCTCTCCAAATCAAATTCATACGCTCGAAAACAACAGTCTCACTAATGTTACACATTCAGGTTAATCTAGTTAAAAGTTCACGTAAGTATGAAAAGAGCGCTAGAAACCTTAATTAGTGACCAATTTTGTAGTGATGAAACTGGGAAAATACACATAACTTTTAGTTAAAACTATCAAGCATCAAATGATGTAGTGTTTACTTATTTTATTTGTTTAAGCAGACAAACATTGGTACAAAGGGGGAACCGAAATAAATTTGCATGTTCTGTGATACTATCCACGTAACCAAACCGAAGCAGTTGTTTTCTTCAGATGGCCACTGCCCAAGCGTTTGACAGAGGTCTGATCCACAAGGCAGTGGAGCAACGTTAGATTCATCTCATGTTAGCCGGTGACCAACATTAGGTCCATACACCATTTGCTCCATCAGGATCCTGGAGTCCATGTGCAATAATGGTTTGCAACCAGTCTTTTCAACTCTTATAGGTAGATGCCCCGTACCCAGAAATACGTCTTTCGTCCTTACAATTTCGCAAACAATACTCCCGCCACGAGCAGACAGTGATTAGAATTTTCCTGACAATGGCTATATGAGAGCGTTCCGAGTGGGAGAGAGGACTGTATCCACCTTGGGTCGTACCAAGGCATTTGAGGACCAAGACAACCATAATTCATAGTAATTTGCAAATTTAATTTCTGGCAAGACCTCAAAGATGAAAAGCCCTACGTTTTTTACGTATTTACGGGATCAAAACGGGAAGGACATTCTGTGGAACTGGGAGTTTTTGACAGCTACCAAGGGGTTAACAACGAATTTTAGAGATACATAAGCATTAAGGGTTAACTTACATGGAATACTTACATAATACGATCGTTTGACGTGTAGAACTTACAAGCCAAATAAACTCACGGGTAGCTAACGGTATCCATAGTTAGAGCCTTTGAGGTCCTTTTCTCAAACCAATTATATTGCCGAAGACCTAATCACTCGTTAGCTAAATTTGGGGTCCGCTGTTATTATAGGCCCTTTATTTCCCGAATGTCGGGTTTGTGATCAAAGCGCTCGACTTTCATTCAAACGGCCAAAGATTCAAACCCTAACGCACCAACTGTGTTGGGCAGCTAAACAGTACTTGATAACCTTACGTTAATAGTGGTCAAAAGTTGGATACATTAACCCAAAATTACTAAGTGGATGAAGTTTTTCTCAAGTTCTTTTCCAACTGCTTTTTATTACAGCTTCTTACTACCGACAGTATCTTAATAAATCTGTAATACAAACCAATATGTAGCAGTACTTATCGTGAATGCAACTACTTGAACATTTGTGCCAGGTTTCTTACGCTTTCTGTTTATATGTAACTGTCTGAATGAGCGGTCAAGTAACAGTTGTTAGCTAACAGCTGTTAGCTTTGATGGTGAATAAAACAACCAAAAAGTCGAAACTTCCTATGTTCATTACATCTCAGACTCGATTAGCCACGAAATTTTTGATCCGGAATAGCGTCCTGCAAATTCGAATCGTTAGCAGACTAGGCCACGCCAAGAAAGATGATACGATCGGAAGATGTTTGCGCTGTAAGATTAACTGGCTTCTCGCACAATGACGGTTATTGTATCAGAAAAGACCAGAGGTTGTGGAAAATATTGCTAGTAAACATGGCGAGGCCAGACAACAAAACACGCAGGACGGTTTATTTTAGTCTACTTGGTACAAGGTTGCATACATCTGACCAGGTACCTGTTACGTCTGCAGACGTAACATGAGTTAACACACAAGCCGCGATTTACTACTACCTAATTTATTAGCATCTGCAGCTGGTCATCATTTAACACCACATAATATTGTACAACTAATTTGTTACAAAACAACTCGAAACTCACCACGCAATGAGGCAGGTCAGGAGAAAATACCGCACTAACGCTACAAACCAAAAGCCCTCGAATTAAGAATGATCTACAGATCAGTTTCGGCAACCTTCTCATAACCAATATCTTAGTTACGAATTGTATAGACAGTTTGATTTTATTGTCCCCACTTCTTGATGTTTCGGGTATTTGTTAATGTCCTATAACTGAGGTTCTGGCGCTTTTCGAACGGGAAGTTTAGTCCTAACGTCGTCTGCATTTCTCAAACTTTCTCTGTGTTCTTGCGCAACAAAAGTACCATTTCTGATCTAAAGAATCTATCCTGAGCTATAAGTTCGGTAGATTGCTTTTTTTTAGTTTCGCCCAATTTACTACTTTGTTTTTTCTTCAGTTTTTCACGTATAGGCTAGTTCATTTTATATCATCCGTTTTATACATTTTTCCCGTTTTTAGTGTGCTTTTTGGTGTATTTTTAACGGTCTTAAGCTTTTGATACTATCCCTAACACAGTTTACGTCAATACAGCCATGAAAAATTCATGCAAACGACCTGGATGCTGTTTTGCTGTTACATCTGGCATGCAGTGCGACAACTGCAAAGGTTGGTTCCACGAAACGTGCACAGATCTCACGGCAACTGCTTACAATAGACTCAGCAAATCGGATCGTAAGTGGGTGCGTGTTACGTGCAGCACGGATGCTGTAGTACTGCTGAGCAACATCATTGTTCTATTGACAGGTCTGCGGAATAAATTGTCAGCAAACTTGGAAACAGATAGCCATAAAATAGGTAGACAAACAAGGGCGCGCAACGAAAACAAGAATAGGGATGTCGATAAGTCTACCATTGATGGAGCACGCATTAGCACTAATGCTGACATGTTGAAACTCAGCACCATCATCACGTCGACGGTAACTGACTCCCTCACTAAGCTTGAATCTCCCAGTACAGTGGTTCCCAAAAACTCTGCAGGTGACTGCACCCACGCCAACAGAGCTAAAAAGGACCAGGTGTCACCGTCTAAGGTTAACATCTCAAGTGTTGTACGGACACCAATTGGTGATTTGATCGCTCAGTCTACCCCCAAAAACGTCCACCCGGTTATCAAAAAGCTTACGACTCAGAAACCTGCTTCGACCTCCGAACAACAACGTACTTAACGCACCGAAAAACCTGGGAGAACAATAACGGTCCGTGATGACTCTCTTATAATCATGAACCTCATAGACAACCCTGACCTTCCTCTCAGTTTTCAGGACAAAAACGACAGGTTGCTCCGGGGTGAACTGAACAAAAAGCTCGAACTTCCTATAATAGAGCCTTTGACGGTCACACGGCTCACTCAGGAAAAAGAATCTAAGCATCAAAATCACCCGAGACTACTTCGTGTAACACTCAAGAATGCTACCGAAGTAGAGGATGTTCTGCTAGCTAGTCATCTGCTGAAATCCGATGGGAACGTCAGAATACTGCCCGACATACCGTATTCTGAGCACAATCTCATCCGGAACGTCCCTAAAGATTCTCGAGAGAAGTTTTTCCGCGGAAGAAATATCATCGTGCAAGGTGTACCGGAAAACATGGACCCTAGTCAAGCAAACTCTGACATTCGGGAATGGAAATTCATCAAACAGTCCTTGAGTCTCAAAAACATACTGACTCAGCATCTGATGAGACCAGCCCAGAAGAACGGGGATCCTAGACCCCGACTAATGAGAATAACTTTTCTATCCTCCCATATGGCGGCTGCAGCTCTGGAAGCATTTCGTGTCAACAGACGTCGGTTGTCAACTGGGATCCATATGCACCCGGACAGGCCATATGACGCCAGGATCAAGCACAAAGACAAGCTGGAGCTGACCATTCCACTTGTGGACTGTCTTGAAGAAAAAAACGTGTAAATGACAGGGCCCACCAATTCGACAAAACTCATATGGGTGGGTTACCTGTCCACTCACGTAAGGCTCTCACAGACAAACAGGAAGAAGCTCACGAGTTTCAAATTGAAAGCATTAACTGCTTATACATGAACGCCACGTGTCTACCAAGTAAAATGGATGAACTACCTGAACTTAGCAATGCTAATAAAGTTCATCTGATGGAAATATCTGAAACTTGGATATCTTCTCAGTTTTTGGACCAGGAGCTAGCAATACCTGGGGTGTCTCTGTTTTGCAATGACAGAAAAACAGGACTTGGGGGTTGAGTAGCCCTATACATACGCTCTGGCTTGGAGGTATACCAAGTTCACAACCATAAGTTTGACAATCTTGAAGAATCTATATGATGCTCTGTGAGATTGTCCACTACTTCGAGGTGCCTAGTCGGAGTCATATATAGGAAGCCCACTGCCGACATCGAGTATGACAGTCGCATGCTGGGAGAACTATCCTGCTCAACGCGTCTCGGTTTCACTCATATCCTGACTCTTGGGGACTTCAATCTCTCTAGAGTCAACTTCGCGGAACATACGTATATTGGAGGTGAAAATTCAATCGAAGCTCGGTCCTTCAACCTCATTGAGGATTTGGGACTACACGAAAATTTGGAGTTGGCTACTCGTTGGAGGAACAGTCAGACACCGTCGCGCTTAGACTGTGTTTTTACAAATGAAGAATTTCTAGTCGCGACCTCTCAATTCTGGCTCCCCTGGGAAACAGCGATCACGCGGTTATAGCCCTCAGTTTTATCGGCAAAACTGAGTTAAGATATCCCAACAACAACAGGCGCTGGAATTTCAAACGGTTGAGTGTGTCAGCTCTATAGGACTATCTACAACAGGTGGATTGGGATGTTCGACCTCAACTTGATGTGGATGCTCACTGGAACTTCCCATCACACACGCTCTTATGTGCTACAAATCAGTCAGTCCCTCAAACGGTCCCCAAAAGCCACATGCAGCCCACAATAATCAAAAAACGCACTCTTCGTTTTTTAAGCCGTAAAAGGCACTGTTGGGCAGAATACAAACAAACCGACAACAACGGCGAGTACAGGCAATACAAACATATAAGGAACATATGCACGAAGACTATAAGAGAAGACAGGCTTCAGTACCAGTTAAAGCTTATGGATAAATTTATTTCCATTCCGAAAAGCTTATTCCGTTACGCAGCCTCTCTTCATCAAGCCAAAACAGGAGTTTCTCAACTGCTAGGTCCTAAAGGCCCGACCGATAGTGACGGTGAAGCCGCTAACCTTCTGGATGAGCAATACTCCTGGACATTTCAACCGTCCCACATCAACTATAGTGATGACGGCTCTATCCGTAACTGCACAGGACTTTCCGTAGTGAAAGTGAGCGCTGACTTCGTGCACTGAAAACTACAGCACCTAAGAACATACACTTCTCCAGGTCCAGATATGGTCCACTCTGCTATACTGAGCGAAGCAGCTTCAATCCTGGCAACAACGCTTAGCGTGATGTTCTCACACTCACTAAGTCGAGGCAAACTACCGGATATTTGGAAGCTGGCTCATGTAACACCAATCTTCGAACGAGGTCGACGCAGCTAACGTCCAAATTACCGACCGGTGGCTATTCTCTCTACACTTTCAAAGATCATGGAGTCCCTGACATACGATGGTATACACGACGGCAAAAAAGGTCAGGCTCACTTAAAGTCGCTCGTCGTTCGTGTACGACGACCTTGAACGGCCTGGCATGAGGTGGTCATTCCGGTCTTCAGTTTTCAGCAATAAGAATAGTAGGTTGGTGAACCTGTGTTAATCCTGACAGATTGCCTTCCAGTGAAAGTCAAGCTTCTCCTTGAAAATATTCACTGATGAAGCTGATACCACTTGTTCGTGTAAGGCGTTTTAGTCATTGACTACTCGATGACCCACTTTAAGTTTATTAGATAGCTGTTAGTGAACCTTCTTGCTATGAATTCGGAGACTATTAGAGCTGGAGGGAGCAAAAAGATAAGACATATTAACACCAAAATCATAGTTAAAGATGAGAAAAGTGGAAAAGCGTTTGACGATTTAAGCGCTCATAGTTAAGGGTTTTAGAAAGACCCTTCAATAATTTTGTTCCCACACACTGAACACGCTCAAATGAGTTTGTATTCGTTATCAGACACGAGCTAGCCGCTTGAATATAGCACTCTGATTGTGGTCTTACATAGGTAGGATATAAAATTTTAAGCATTTCCCCGTCAAAATATTTGAATGCTCGGTGAAGTGACCATAACACACGAAAACCTTTGACAGCATCTGCGTTGCAATGCGTACTTGTTTTCAATTCATGACTTATTATTACTCCTGAGTCTTTATGTTCTTGAACGTGTGGAAGAGATGTGCCATCAATAGCATAATTGTGACTAATACGTGTCTGATGTGCATGAGAACACTTCCTGGAATTAACTCCTAAGCCCCAACGTCGAGTCCATCTAACTAATTTACCTCAGTAAGCTTGGAGATCCAAATGATCAGCCTCAATTATTATAGTTCTCCAGATTTTTACATCATCCGAAAACAATATTGTCGACGACTTAAGCAACAGCTATAATTCAGTAACGTAGAGATGGGAAAGCATAGGGCCTAAGACGTACCTTCGGGTACACCAATTTTGACCGGCTTACATTCGGGTAGCTTTCCACTGACCCTCACTCTCTGTTTAAGGTCACATAACAAGTTTCCTATCCATTACTGCACAGCACCTATTATTCCGAAGCTCGAGAGCTTCTAAATAAGACCTAAGTGTGAAAACTTGTCAAATGCTTTGCTTAAATCTATGAACAACACACCGACAGACGGACCGTTATCTAGGGCTGCTGTCCAACCATTCTTCGCTATAAGTTACTTAGTCAAGCACGAAGGCTTGTTACAAAATCCATGTTGCTCGGGAGTTAACAGATTTCACTAACGTATTGTTTGTTTGCTCACTGTAATTTAGACACTTAATCCACTATGTTAGTTTCTGTATGAGTATGATTGTGCGCGTGTCTACTTATCAATCTTGAATCTATTCTCCCATTGGTTGTAAGACACAGGTAATCAATAATTTATCCAAAGTCGATTAACAGTCATAAATATATATGGATTTTTAACACAGGCACACGTGCTT